TCCTGGTTTAGTCTTGTTTTAGTCCTGGTTTAGTCTTGTTTTAGTCCTGGTTTAGTCCTTATTTTAGTCTTATTTTAGTCTTGTTTTAGTCTTGTTTTAGTCTTGTTTTAGTCCTGGTTTAGTCCTTATTTTAGTCTTGTTTTAGTCCTGGTTTAGTCTTGTTTTAGTCTTGTTTTAGTCCTGGTTTAGTCTTGTTTTAGTCCTGTTTTAGTCCTTGTTTTAGTCTTGTTTTAGTCCTGGTTTAGTCCTTGTTTTAGTCTTGTTTTAGTCCTGGTTTAGTCCTCTTGTCTCTGGCTGTAGATGACTCGGGTGTGGAGGTGTTTATCGTCTTGGTGCAGGTTTTTCTGTGGTTCTGCTCTGTTGTTTGTGTCTGTTTCCGTGGCGATCGTCTCCACGGCGCCTGCCTCACCTGAGACGCCCATATATGGTCATTACGAGGCTCTGAGGTCGTTCAGGTGCTTTTCCCACGACTTTGGGTCAAATCTCTGAAATCGTTGAGTCTTTCCACATGAAACAAAAAACTGTCACGAAGTTCAGCCTCGTCTCTGTCACGAGAAATAAACGTAAGAACATTTTTTCACAATCGTACCGTTATTTCACCCCAAAGACGAGAGTTTCCAGATTAAATTGTTCATGTGACGTTATTTTCTGATGTTCTGATGTCGTTTCCTCGTCGCACACAGACCTGGAGTTGTGTTTTGTTTCATTCACACAAGTTTAACACACAAACCTCTCAAACAGAAAACACTCAGTTCCACCTTGTGATGTCATCATGTGGTAATACAGGAAGTGCTCCACTGTGTTTTTAAACTCCACACATCTTCACTAGAATCATTTGGCTCATTTCAGCTCTGGAATTTCCGATCTCTGCTGAACTAAAGGGAAAAGGAGATGACATCACAAGGTGGAACAGAGGATTTTGAGTTTTGGGGATGTAGATCAGGTGTCTCCAGCCTGGAGCTCTTCACCTCCTTCCAGGTCGCTCGCCAAGGGATTTCTGAACAACTCAAATTTGACTTTTTAAATGCCTTTTGTTGTCGGCAAAAGGAGAAGTTCAATTTGTCAACAGGACAAAAGTTTAGTAAGTAAATAAGAAATTGTTTTATTTCTATAACGCTTTTCACAGACATTTGTCACAAAGACGCTTTACAGAACATTATTCAGCATTATTCATTCACTCCACACACAGTGAGGGTAAACTACTGTTGTAGCCACAGCTGCCCTGGGGCAGACTGACGGAAGCGCGGCTCAGATCTGTACATGTTTACGTGGTGGTGTCATAGGGGGGAGCTCTACACTATCATGCACTTTTAAAATACTCTGCTGCGGTCTGTGTGATGCTCTAATGTCATTTCGATGTTATTTTATGTGACAATGACAATAAAGGAATTGAACTGAAGTGAATCTGCACCATCGGCCCGACCGACCATCACCAACACACACACTCCACTTTCACTCTCATGTGGGTGAAGTGTCTTGCCTAAAGACACAATGACAGTTTTTGTGACTGGCGCCTCCTGTGGCTCCATCCAAGTCCAGACCCAGACCCAGACCCAGACCCAGACCCAGACCTGCTGAGCCTCTTAGATCTGACAGGATCAGACTTTGACGAGCTCGTCTGGCCACAGTTTGGTCAAGTACATTTTACTGCTCGTCTAAACTGCCTCTTCAGTTCTTCTTCAGTTCTTCTTCAGTTCTTCTTCAGTTCTAGATTCTACTTGCACGACTCCCAGATTTACACACATGTTGAAAAGCTGATTATTCTTGTAAATCGATCATTTTGGTGCCCGACTTGCACTTCTTGCACTCACCAATAAATAATTTATCTTTTATGTTTTATCTAATTGATGAATTGATCTTGATTGATCTCGTCTTGGCTCTTGTAAACTTTATTTCTTGCATTCATTAAAATTCGTCGCTCTCTGGAGTTTTCATTCAGTAAAGGAGCTCACCCGAGGAAAACGGCCGCAGACCTCTGATGTAAACAGACTAATAATACAGACTCAAACATGTGAATGAAACAAACACAACTCAGGTCTGTTTCTGAGGAGCTTAAACAGCGTTAGATCATGACTTAAAGTTTCCATTTTGTGTGATGTCGGATCAGTTTGTGGAGCCGATCTCAAACAAACAACGATAAACTTGAGAAGATGAGGACGTAACCTTTTCCCGAGGCGTCCGAGGCGGAATCTGAGGTGAAACCGACAGGGCCCACCGTCAATCTGATGTTTTTTTTTTTTGTTAAATCGGGGATGAAGGAGACGAGAGGTGAGGCAGGAGACACCACGGCACCAGAACCGCCACATGTAAAAACCCCAGAGTCTAAAAACGGAGCTGCTCAAACACAGAGAGCGCGGCCCGATCGCACGAGGAGGAGCCTGACCCGTGACCTCCACAACCTCCACCACCTCCACACGGGCTAACCACTCTGCCACGGCCCCGCGCTCCGCTCACGCACAGCCGGAGTCTAACCCACAACCCCATGACTCCGAGGCAGGACACTTCTCACGCCGCGCTCACATTCCACAGCGCCGTGACAAAAACCCGACTCAAATTAAACGTTTGTTTCTTCAGCGGCTCCAAAACAAAAGTGTGGAGAACGACTGGGACTTTAAACCCGAGTCCAAGTCTGGAGAAAAGACGGTTCTCGCTCTGGACCAGGATTCAGACCAAGTTTATGTGCTGATTTGTTTTGTGTTTTCATCAAAAACAAATCTGGAGTTTTGGTCATAAATCATAAAGTTACATCAGACCGCTGGTTTAGTCCTGGTTTAGTCCTGGCTTAGTCCTGGTTTAGTCCTGGTTTAGTCCTGGTTTTGTTCTTTTGTTTGGTCCTGGTTTAGTCCTGGTTTTCTCCCTCATTTAGGCTCTAATTTAGTCCAAATTTAGTCCTGGTTTTAGTCCTGTTTCAGGCCTTGGTTTAGGCCCTGGTTCAGTCCTGGTTTAGACCTGGTTTAGTTCTGGTTTAGTCCTGGTTTAGTCCTGGTTTTAATGCTGGTTTAGTCCTGGTTTAGTTCTGGTTTAGTCCTGGTTTAGTCCAGGTTTTAGTCCAGGTTTTAGTCCAGGTTTTAGTCCAGGTGTTAGTCCAGGTTTTAGTCCTGATTTAGTCCCAGTATTAGTCCCGGTTTTATTCCTGGTTTTAGTCCTGGTTTAGTTCTAGTTTTAGTCCTGGTTTAGTCCTGGTTTAGTCCTGGTTTTAGTCCTGGTTTTAGTCCTGGTTTTAGTCCTGGTTTTAGTCCTGGTTTAGTCTTGTTTTAGTCCCGGTTTAGTCCCTGGTTTAGTCCTGGTTTAGTCCCTGGTTTAGTCCCTGGTTTAGTTCTAGTTTTAGTCCTGGTTTTAGTCCTGGTTTAGTCCTGGTTTAGTCCTGGTTTTAGTCCTGGTTTTAGTCCTGGTTTTAGTCCTGGTTTTAGACCTGGTTTAGTCCCTGGTTTAGTCCCTGGTTTAGTCCCTGGTTTAGACCTGGTTTAGTCCTGGTTTAGTCCCTGGTTTAGTCCCTGGTTTAGTCCTGGTTTAGACCTGGTTTAGACCTGGTTTAGTCCTGGTTTAGACCTGGTTTAGACCTGGTTTAGTCCTGGTTTAGTTCCAGAACGGCGTCTTGTTTTCTCAGTAAACTTTGGTTTATTTTTACGACATTTTAAACAAACAGAAAAAAACAGAAATGCAGAAAATCTCAAGGGACGAAGAAGCGAGAACCACAACGAGGAAAATATTTAAACTGCTAATTCAGACGCGACCGACGGAAGACGAGAGAGGGAAAAGAGAGGGAGAGAAGAGAGAGAGAGAAGAGAGAGAGAGAAGAGAAGAGAGAAGAGAAGAGAGAGAGAGAGAGAGAGAGAAGAGAGAGAGAGAGAGAGAGAGAGAGAGAGAGAGAGAGAAGAGAGAGAGAGAGAGAGAGAGAGAGAGAGAGAGAGAGAGAGAGAGAGAGAGAGAGAGAGAGAGAGAGAGAGAGAGAGAGAGAGAGAGAGAGAGAGAGAGAGAGAGGAGAGAGAGAGAGAGAGGAGAGAGAGAGAGAGAGAGAGAGAGAGAGAGAGAGAGAGAGAGAGAGAGAGAGAGAGAGAGAGAGAGAGAGAGAGAGAGAGAGAGAGAGAGAGAGAGAGAGAGAGAGAGAGAGAGAGAGAGAGAGAGAGAGAGAGAGAGAGAGAGAGAGAGAGAGAGAGAGAGAGAGAGAGAGAGAGAGAGAGAGAGAGAGAGAGAGAGAGAGAGAGAGAGAGAGAGAGAGAGAGAGAGAGAGAGAGAGAGAGAGAGAGAGAGAAGAGAGGGAGAGGAGAAAGAGAGAGAGAGAGAGAGAGAGAGAGAGAGAGAGAGAGAGAGAGAGAGAGAGAGAGAGAGAGAGAGAGAGAGAGAGAGAGAGAGAGAGAGAGAGAGAGAGGAGAGAGAGAGAGAGGAGAGAGAGAGAGGAGAGAGAGAGAGAGAGAGAGAGAGAGAGAGAGAGAGAGAGAGGGAGAGAAGAGAGAGAGAGAAGAGAGGTAGAGAAAAAGAGAGAGAGAGGAGAGAAGAGAGAGAAAGAGGGAGAGGAGAGAGAGAGAGGGAGAGAGAGAGAGAGAGAGAGAGAGAGAGGAGAGAGAGGGGGGGAGACAAGACGGAGAGAGAAGAGATGGAAGAGAGAGAAGAGATGGAAGAGATGGAAGAGATACGATGGAGAGAGAGGGGGGGGAGAAAGGGAGACATGACAGAGAGAGAGAAGGGGGAGCAAGATGGAGAGAGAGAGAGAAGGAGAGAGAGAGAAGGGGGGACACGATGGAGAGAGAGAGAAGGAGAGAGAGACGAGCGGGTGAGAGGGGGGAGAGGGCGAAAGAGAGAGATGAAAAAAAGGGAGGAAGAGATGGAGAAAGAGAGGAAGAGGGGGAGGAAGAGGAGGAAACTGAGAGGGGAGAAATAGAGAAGAGAAAAGGGGGAGAGAGAGAGAGAGAGAGGGGAGGAGATGAAGAGAGGATGAAGAGGACAAGTTGAAGTTTCTGATCTGATGTTTTGTCGTCTCAGGTCTGGACATCAGGTCTGGAGGTCTGGACTCTGGGGTCTGGACTCGGGTCTGGACTCGGGTCTGGACTCGGGTCTGGATCTGGACTCGGGTCTCGGGTCTGGACTCGGGTCTCGGGTCTCGGGTCTGGACTCGGGTCTGGAGTCTCGGGTCTGGACTCGGTCTGGGGGTCTGGTCTCGGGTCTGGGGGTCTGGAACTCGGGTCTGGACTCGGGTCTGGTCTCGGGTCTGGACTGGGGGTCTCTCTGGTCTCGGGTCTGGACTCTGGGTCTGGTCTCGGGTCTCTCTGGTCTCGGGTCTGGACTCGGGTCTGGTCTCGGGTTCTGGTCTCGGGTCTCGGGTGGTCTGGACTCGGGTCTGGACTCGGGTCTGGACTCGGGTCTGGTCTCGGGTCTGGACTCGGGTCTGGACTCGGGTCTGGACTCGGCCTGTGTGGTCCGGTTCTGCTCTCACTGTGATTCTGTCAAACTGTTTGACTGTTACAAACGTCTCCATCTTGATTCGCTCTGACGTTTAGAAACAGGAAGTGAATCTGAAGGTTTGAGGTTCAGTTCTTTTAGATTCTGTTGTTGTGTCCTTGGGCAAAGCACTCTGTGGGTAAATATGAAAGAGGAGCTCAGTCTGAGGCTTTTTTAAACTTTAATAATAAACTTTTATGTTTATTGTCGTTTTATTTCAGTGGTCTGTTTGTTTTATCACTGCAGACGGATCAGACGTGTGAACTGACACTGTGAGACATCTTCTCTTCTCCTCTCTCCTTTCCTCCTTTCCTCTCCTCTCCGCTTCTCTTTCCTCTCCTCTTTTATCTCCTTTCCTCCTCTCTTCTCTTCTCTCCTTTCTGAATCTCAGTCTCTTCCGTCGCTTGTGGAGGAGGATTCTTCTCTGGACTTGAGCTCAGATCTTCAGGACCTTTTCTCCTGCATCGTTGCCCGACTGAACCCGAACAAACACAAACGACAGAACTCAAGAGACGAAGAGGAGGAGAGACGGGAGAGAGAAGAGAGAAAGAAGAAAGAAGAGGAAGAGGAGAAGAACGCTCAGACGACAGGTTTGGATGGGAAAACACTTTAAACACGTCAGAGCAAAGGAAAACAAAATAAATTGTGTTTTTTTTTTCTGTTTTTGTATCAGATGCAGACGCAGATGTTGAAACTCGTCAGAAAGAGACAAAGACACAAACTCCAGTGAAAAAAACTACACTACCCACAATGCAACAGGTGAGATTAAACCTGTTCAACAGTTTCAGGCAGAACAATTCAAATCAGAATATTTGATCTTTTTGAATGAGGAAAGATCTTGACAAATCCTACAAATCAGAAAGATCTTTACTGCAAAATAATAAAATGACCTGAGTGAGTTTTAGTTTATTATAAATAACTCAAGTCAGTGGTGTAGTGGGATTTTTTAAGACTAAAACAGAATTAAAACTGGGTCTAAACCAAGACTAAACCAGAACTACACCAGGTCTAAAACAGGTTTAAACCAGGACTACACCAGGACTAAAACAGGTTTAAACTAGTACTAAACCAAGACTAAACCAGGACTAAACTGGGACTAAACCAAGACTGAACCAAGACTAAACCAGGACTAAACCAGGACTAAACCAGGACTACACCAGGACTACACCAGGTCTAAAACAGGTCTAAACCAGGTCTAAACCAGGTCTAAACCAGGACTACACCAGGTCTAAACCAGGACTAAACCAGGTCTAAACCAGGACTAAAACAGGACTAAACCAGGTCTAAACCAGGTTTAAACCAGGTCTAAACCAGGTCTAAACCAGGACTAAAACAGGACTAAACCATGTCTAAACCAGGTCTAAACTAGGTCTAAACTAGGTCTAAACTAGGTCTAAACTAGGTCTAAACCAGGTCTAAACCAGGACTAAAACAGGACTAAAACAGGACTAAACCATGTCTAAACCAAGACTACACCAGGACTACACCAGGTCTAAAACAGGTCTAAAACAGGACTAAAACAGGACTAAAACAGGTTTAAACTAGTACTAAACCAAGATTAAACCAGGACTAATCTTGGACTTGAGAGCGAGAAAGAGAACCCTAAGTCCATGGAGCAGGGTGTCTGCAAAGTTTGATCGGGCGGTGGCTGCTTTAGCTCCGTGGGGGCGGAGCTCTGTACCGATCCTTTCTCCTGTGGTCTCCCAATGGTCTACATGGGCGCACCTCTGGGCCCGTCCCGACACTCAGTCCCGGTTCAGTCCCGGTTCAGTCCCGGATCAGTCCTGGTTCAGTCCCGGTTCAGTCCTGGTTCCCTCATGAGTCTGTGCAGGTTGTTTTCATCATTGCCTGTAGCTCTGGTTTGACATTTCACTTGTAGATATTTTATATTTGTCTCCTGCTCCGAGTGAAACAGAAACGTGACTTTCGTGTTGTGGTTCCTCCTCGTGTCCTGCAGGTGTCGTCTCTGAGCTCCACAGACCGACCTGCTCCAAAACCAAAGAAGAAGAAAGTGGGTCTGTTCAGGTGAAACTCGGCAGCGCACGCAAACATCCAAAACATCCAAAACATCCGAAACCTTTTAAAATGAACGTTTTTAAACTTAAACGAGGAAATGAGCTGTAACTAATTCTTTTATATTTCTTAGTGTTTTAAATGTATTTTAAATCTGTAGTAAACTCTGGATCATTTTAAAGTGTTAAATTATAAACATGTTCATGATTCATAATGATCAAATATTTCTCTCAGTTAAGATTTATTTTATTAAAGGTTTTGCACTAAAACTACTAAACCAAATGTTACCAGTACTTTTTAAAATGTTGGGTTATCATCACTACTACTTACAGTATATTACTATTTTACTATTTTAACTACTACTTCTACTTGTACTACTACTACTACTACTAATACTTCTTCTAATTAGGAATGTTACTAACAATTATTTTAGTAGTAAACGAGTCACATTATCGACCAAATAAAGAGTGAAATCTGAAAACTGAGGGCTTCAAGTGTGTTACTAATGAAAATCTGAAATTTTTTTATTTTATTTTCACATTTTGATGTAATAATTCTTCTGTCTGTGATGGTTTTATAGTTAATTATTTCAGCTCTTCTTCTTCTCCTGACTCGTCCTGGTCCTAAACATGGCGTCCTGGGTTTTGGAACACAAACATGAACTGTGCCACATACATGAACATGGACTCCTCTCCTCCTCCTCCTCCTCCTCCTCCTCTCCTCTCTCCTCTCTCCTCTCTCTCTCTCCTCCTCCTCCTCCTGTCTCCATCTCTACCCTCTCTCCTCCTCTCTCCTCCTCCTCCTCCTCCTGTCTCCATCTCTACCCTCTCTCCTCTCCTCCTCTCTCCTCCTCTCTCCTCCTCCTCCTCCTCCTCCTCCTTCTGTCTCCATCTCTCCTCCTCTCTCCTCCTCTCTCCTCCTCCTCCTCTCCTCTCTCTGTCTCCCTCCTCCTCTTTCTCGGTCCTGGGACATGAGCCTGATTTCCTCTCTCCTCTGCTCCTCTCTTTTCTTTTCTCTTCTCTCCATCTTTTCTTTTCTCTCGTCCGTGTGATGTTGACTCAGGGCGTGATGAAGAGCACAAAGTATTTGAAGAAACAGTTCAAAAGTCTGTGACCCTGGAGACAGACACACACACACACACACACACACAACAGGAGCCACAAACACCAAACAGGAGGTCCACGCCTCCACAGAGTCTCCGGTTCGAGTCCTCCCACGCCCTCATCCTGTCAGGTCTGTGTGGAGTTTACATGTTCTCCCTGTGTGTGTCTGAACCTTCCACGATCATACAGGTCTCTGCTCCTCACCGCTTTACTCCAGATTTACGAAACGTCTCAGCTTCTCAGACATCGTCCCTCCAGTGTGTCCTGGGTCTTCCCCAGGGCCTCCTCCTGCTGGGACATGAACACCTCCTGAGGGACACGTCCAGGAGACGTCAGAACAGACGTCCTCCCCTCAGACGCTCCTCTCCACGTGGAGGAGCAGCGGCTCTACTCCGAGCTCCTCCCTCTGTCTCTAAGGGAGACGCCCGGACGCCCTGCGGAGGAAACTCATCTGTGTCACTTGTATCGTCGATCTCGTCCTTTCGGTCCCAAGTCCCAAGTCAGTGACCTTCAAGTCCAAGTCGAGTCCCAGGTCTTAGTCCATTTTATCAATTCAAGTGTCAAAATCTAAAAAAATAGTGACTCCAACCTCATGGATCATGAGTGAAAGTGTTTAGGCTGAAGTAAAAAATTCTTCTAACGCCAAACTCTATTAAATAATGACAGAATTCCAAGAAAAAAAGCAGTGCTGAACTGTAAGTTTGTGTTTACAATTTCACTCACGACTTATGGTAAATATAAGAGTCAAAATATAAATTAAACTAGATTTAAAGCATAATTCATTCATTGCAGAGCTCGAGATCTTTAAAACATAACACTTTACTCTTTTTTTTTTAAAGTTTTCTCCAGTGTAAAATCTTGCACTCAGAGTCGCAGTTTCTCCTCTCTTACGTCACGCCCGTGGGTCCCCGCGCGCGCACCTGCTCCTCCCGCGTCCGGAGGGTCCAGAGAGCGGCGCGCGCCCGTGTCCCCCCCCAGTGTCCACGCACGTGGGCAGGTCTGTCCTCACCCCTCATCCCGCGCGCGTCTGTCCTCACTCCAGACGCACAGAGACGCAGAGGGACGCACAGAGACGCACAGAGACGCAGAGGGACGCACGACGTGAGGGCGCGAGGGGCTCCGCTTTGAGCCGCGTGCCAAGGTAAACGCGCCGCCGCTATTTATGCCCCGCGCTCTGGGGACACGCGCACGCACCGGGACGGAGCGCGAGGACTAAACTCCACGATGTTTGTGAAAATCCAAGATCCGTGAAGAAATGAAGAAGCCGCGCGCCCAGGTGCGTCAAGTTTATCTCCCGTTATTTACGCACAATGAAGGCAGAATTTAGTCAGAAAGTTTATAAATAAATATGTTTATTTTTAATTTCTACAAATACAAATTTACCTCAAGACTCTGATTTTATCTCTGGTCTCGGGACCTGATTTGGACCCTGGTCTCAAACCGGATTTAGTCACTTTTTTTTTTTTTTTTGGTCATTTGGACTTTTTATTTATTTATTTATTTTTGTCATGATTCTTTTATTTTCCGCGGTTCAAACTCTTTTTTGAGTCTAGGACCTAAGCCCACGTGCGTTTAACCTTTGACCTCTGTTTGTCTTGTGTTCCAGGAGCTTCTCTCTGGACTTTAGCGCCTTTGGCCCCGCACGTCTGGACCCCGCACCTCCACGCGCCCCGCACGTCTCCCCGCTCCTCCTCGCGCTCCGCACCGATGCGTGCGTGGCGCGTGTCCGTCCTCGCGTGCTTCGTGGCGGGGTGCGCGCTCCTCCTGTGCCCGCGCGTGCACGGCTGCGGCCCGGGGCGCGGGTACGGGAAGCGGAGGAACGCGCGGAAGCTCGCGCCGCTCGCGTACAAACAGTTTTCCCCGAACGTGGCGGAAAAGACGCTCGGCGCGAGCGGCAAGTACGAAGGAAAAATCACGCGCAGCTCCGAGCGATTCAAAGAACTGACCGCGAACTTTAACCCGGACATAATCTTCAAAGACGAAGAGAACACGGGCGCCGACCGCATGATGACGCAGGTGAGCGCCGTCGCCATGGCAACTAACTATTTTACACTGAAGATGACAATAAAAATATATTTAAAGTCCTAAAAGTGCAACATAGAAAGTTTAGACTAAACCAGAACTAAACCAGAACTCAACCAGAACTCAACCAGGACTAAACCAGAACTCAACCAGGACTAAACCAGGGAGTCAGTTTAGTTAATAATCCTCAGTGGAGCATTAGTTCTTGTTCGTTCTTTTATTTTGGGTAAAACTGTGACAGTTTCATCATGAGGTGTTTATGTTTATGTTCTCACTTTACTCCTGTTTATTCCTCTAAACTCCAGAGCTGTTAGTCCTGGTCTGGGTTAGTCCTGGTCTGGTTTAGTCCTGGTCTGGTTTAGTCCTGGTCTGGGTTAGTCCTGGTCTGGGTTAGTCCTGGTCTGGGTTAGTCCTGGTCTGGTTTAGTCCTGGTCCGGGTTAGTCCTGGTCTGGGTTAGTCCTGGTCTGGTTTAGTCCTGGTCTGGGTTAGTCCTGGTCTGGGTTAGTCCTGGTCTGGGTTAGTCCTGGTCTGGTTTAGTCCAGGACTAAATCAGGTTTAAACTGAACCAAAGCAGGACTGAGGAGGATCCAGACTCAGGATTTATCTGAGGTCAGAGGTTTTTTCCAGGTAAAAGGACCAAAGAGACGATGTTGTTTTAATCTTTATTTTATTCTTTCAGTGTTTAGTGTTTTTTCTCTCAGTTGTTTTGTGTTTTTTGTCTCGTACAGTTTGTCATATTGTGTTCAGAAACGACCTCATCCTCTCACAAACTTCCTCCTCTTCACCTTTGTCTACCTTTTTATTTCTGTCCCTGAAACCGAAGTTTCAGGAGGAAACTGGGAATCAAATCCATTTCACACGACGCAACACAACAGGGAGACGGAGAAGAGAGAGGGAAGAAGGGAGGGAGAGAGAGAGAGGAGAAGAGAGGGAAGAAGGGAGGGAGAGAGAGAGAGGAGAAGAGAGGGAGGAAGGGAGGGAGAGAGGGACTGAGAGGAGAGGAGAGAAGGAGGAAGGAGAGGAGGAGAGAGAGAGAGCGGGAGGAGAAGGAGGGATAGAGAGAACAGAGAAAGAGAGGAGAAGAGTGGGAGAAAGAGAAGGAAGAGAGGGAAAAAAGGAGGGAGAGAGGCACAAAGAGGAGAGGAAAGGAGAGAAGGAAGAAGGACAGGAGGAGAGGAGATGAGAAGAGAAGAAGGACTAGACAGGGAGGAAGAAGAGAGAACGAGATGAGGAGAAAGAGGAGGGAGAAGAAAGAAGGACAGGAAGGACATGAGAAGAGGAGAGGGAGACGGGGAGGAGGAAGAGGGATGGGGAGAACAGAGAAAGAGAAGGAAGAGAAGAAGAGAAAAGAAGGGGAGGGGAGAGAAGCAGAAAGAGCAGAAAGGAGAAGGAAAGAGCGAGACGAGGGAAGGAGAGGTGAAGTGAAGAAGATGGACGGATGGAGACGAGAGGACGGACGGAGGAGAGGAGCGAGGGATGAGGAGAGGAGAGGATTGATGGAGGGATGAGGAAAGGAGGGAGGAGGAGGAGAGGCTAAAAATGTCGGTGTAGAATTCCTCGTCAAAACCAGAAAAACAAAACTCACAGAGAGAAAAGTGAACTTTAAACTACCAGGAACTAAACCAGGACTAACTAAACCAGGACTACTGACTAAACCAGAACTAAACCAGGACTACTAAACCAGACTAAACCAGGACTAAACCAGAACTAAACCAGGACTAAACCAGGAACTAAACCAGGACTAAACCAGGACTAAACTAAACCAGGACTAAACCAGGACTAAACCAGAACTAAAGAACTAAACCAGGACTGACTAAACCAGAACTAAACCACTGATCTACACCAGGACTACTAAACCAGGACTGACTAAAACCAGGACTAAACCAGGACTTAAACCAGGAACCAGGACTAAACCAGGGAACTAAACCAGGACTAAACCAGGACTAAACTAAGACTAAACCAGAACTAAACCATGATCTACACCAGGACTACACCGGGACTAGACCATGACAAAACCAAGATCTACACCAGAACTAAACCAGGTCTAAAATCAGGACTAAACCAGAACTGAACCAGGACTAAACCACGACTAAACCTGGACTAAACCAGGACTAAACCTGGACTAAACCAGAACTAAACCAGGACTAAACCAGAACTAAACCAAGATCTACACGAGGTCTACACCAGGACTAAACCAGGACTGAACCAGGGACTAATCTGGGACTAAATCAGGAATATTTAGATTTCCGATCTAAGATTTCAGTGTTTTTTTTCCGTTCTGAGTCCGTCTTTGTCCCGTCGGGGATCGGGGGTCGGAGTCGGGATCAGGGCCGTAAACGTGACTGATATGTGCGCCGCTTTAAAGTCTTAAATATAGAAGCGGGACGAGGTCTCTGCGGAGCTGGACTCAGACTAAAGCCCGAGTTTGTTCTGGACTGAGCCGGATTCGTCGTGATCCGGTGATTTACGGCGTCGCGGCGTCGCACACACTCCCGCCTTTTACTCCAACGACGACGACGGCGGCGGCTAATTAATGAACGAAGAGCTGCTCTTTCTGCTGCCAAAACAAACCCCCGAACCTGTGAGAATAAATCTGCACGACTATAAAAGTAACGCCACAGCAGGTCAGAGGGTCAGGGGTCAAAGACGGAGCACGAAAATGTAAAAATCAATTCACAATTACCAGAAATTAAAAAACAAATGTCAAGTTAAATGTCCTTTTTTACAGAAAGTGACTCCTGTGAACTTTAAGTCAAGTTCTAATTTTTCCTCCTCAAAAACACCTGGAGCTGTGTTTGTTTTTTTTTTGTTTGTTTTTTTATTATTATTATTAGTCTGTTTACGTCTCCAAAGCTCAAAATGTTCCTCGTTGCGATGTCGGTGTGGTGTCGTTGTGGTGTTGTTGTGTCGTTGTGATGTCAGTGTGATGTTGGTGTGATGTCAGTGTGATGTTGGTGAAAGGTGAGAGTGAGGACCGGGGGTTTTGTAGATTCTCTTGGTTCAGAGGGACGAGGTCGAGTCGAGGAGCAGTTGTTGTGAAGTCGGTCGCCCGAACTCTAAATCGCTGCAGGAAAATCTGAACCAAACACGGACGAGATCCTCGTGAATATTAAAGAACCGAGTCTCCGTGGAGCTACACATGAAGTGGACGAATGTTTCCATCCATCTATGTTCTTCTTCTTCTCTGGGGTTGGGTCTCGGGGGCATCAGTCTAAACAGGGACTCCCAGACTTCCTTCACCCCAGACACTTCCTCCAGCTCCTCCTGAGGTGTTCCCAGTCCAGTCCAGAGACATCGTCCCTCCAGTGTGTCCTGGGTCTTCCCCGGGGCCTCCTCCTGGTGGGACATGAACACCTCCTGAGGGACACGTCCAGGAGACGTCAGAACAGACGTCCTCCCCTCAGACGCTCCTCTCCACATGGAGGAGCAGCGGCTCTACTCCGAGCTCCTCACTCTGTCTCTAAGGGAGACGCCCGGACGCCCTGCGGAGGAAACTCATCTGTGTCGCTTGTGTCGTGGATCTGGTCCTTCGGGTCATGACCAGAGGTGAGGGGAGGAACAGAGACTCAGCTTCTCTTCACCACAACGATCCGATACAGCGACCGCATCACTGCCCACGCTGCACCTGTCCACCTGTCAATCTCACGCTGCACCTGTCCACCTGTCAATCTCACGCTGCACCTGTCCACCTGTCAATCTCACGCTGCACCTGTCCACCTGTCAATCTCACGCTGCACCTGTCCACCTGTCAATCTCATGGTCCGTCCTCCCCTCACTCAGAACAAGACCCCGACAGACTTGAACTCCTCCACCTGAGGCAGAGACTCTCCACCCGCCCAGAGACGACAAGACGCCTTTTTCCCATCCAGAACCTCGACCTCGGACTTGGAGGAGCCGATCTTCGTGTTTGACCCACACTCGGGTCAAACATGGAGAAATGTAAACGCACACAAACTGCACAAACTCAAGTCGTGGTCAGACCTGCACCGAACCCACCGTCCTGTACTGAAACGGTTCAGAACAAACACATGAACCGAGTCTCTGGACAACATTTTCAAAACCACACGCTTTGATGAAACTTTACAAAGTGGAGTGGACCTGGAGCCGTTTGTCCCTGAGACAAATGCTCCGTTGGCGTCAAAAATAAACATGGCGACTTTATGTTTTTTAAAAAAAGGGGCAAAGTAACACAGAAACAGAAGATCCACAATCAAAACACCAAACTCTTTATGTCTCTTTACCTTTTTATCTGAGGGAAAAGACGTTACAGGTTTTGTTCTGAATGTTACGAGAGCGTCTCAGGTCTGGACGGAGGATTTTCACGCTCTGTAGTCCTGGTCCAGACTCTTCTGGACTCTTCTGGACAGACTGTAGAAACAACTGGAGCTTGGGCGACGTGTTCATTAAATCACAAACGATACAATAATACTGGACCAAATCGAAACGAGGACGTCTTCATCTGAATCTACACGAAATCTGCATCAAAATTCTTCTGCACATTTTTGAGTGTTTAAACCAGATCATTTTTACTGTTACCAGGACTAAACCAGGACTAAACCAAAACTGGAGCAGGACTAAACCAGAACTAAACCAGGACTAAACCAAAACTGGAGCAGGACTAAACCAGGACTAAACCAAAATTGGAGCAGGACTAAACCAGAAATAAACAGGGACCAAACCAGAACCAACAGGACCAAACCAGGACCAAACCAGGACTAAACCAGGACTAAAGGGACTAAACCAGGACCAAACCAGAACAAACCAGGACTAAACCAGGACCAAACCAGGACTAAACCAGGACCAAACCAGGACTAAACCAGGACCGAACCAGAACTAAACAGGGACTAAACCAGGACCAAACCAGAACTAAAAAGGGACCAAACCAGGACTAAACAGGGACCAAACCAGGACCAAACCAGGACTAAACCAGGACTAAACCAGGACTAAACAGGGACCAAACCAGGACTAAACTGGGACCGGAGCAGACCTGGACCGGACCAGGACCGAGCAGACCTGGACCGGACCAGGACGGAGCAGGCTGGACCAGACCTGGACCGGAGCAGGACCAAACCAGGACTAAACAGGGACCAAACCAGGACCAAACCAGGACTAAACCAGGACTAAACAGGGACCAAACCAGGACTAAACTGGGACCGGAGCAGGCCTGGACCTGGACCGGACCAGGACTGCAGCAGGACCAGACCAGGACCGGAGCAGGACCAGACCAGGACCGGAGCAGGACCAGACCAGGACCAGACCAGGACCGGAGCAGGACCTCCGCGGGCCTGAGTCGGGCGCATGAGTCGCTCTCTGTGATAAGAATAGTGGATGTTGTTTCTGGGCGGTGAGACCTGCAGACGTCATAAATCAGAGGCTGGTTTACTCTGAAGTTTTGCTCGACCGCAGTTTGGACAAACAGCAGCAGATAGGTGACTCCTGTGTCCCGGCAGACGCTAAAAACAGACTCGTACAGGGTCCGTGCGGAGAGACGGAGAGACGGAGGGAAAGACGAGAGAGGGAGGAGGGAAGAGGAGAGGAGGAGGGAGAGAGGGAACGTAAAGGTAACTCCTGTGTCCCAGCAGACGCTAAAAACAGACCTGTGAGGCCTGTGTGGAGAGACGGAGGAGAGGAGAGGGGGATAGAGGGAGGGAGGTGAAGAGGGAGAGGAGGAGGAGGAGGAGGGGTGTGGGGTGTGGGGGAGTCTCCTAAACCGCAGTTGAGTAAAGTGAGTTTAACTTGAGCAATATTTGTGTAAAATCTTGTTGAGTGTCAAAGGTTGTTTCCTCTGACACCGTGAAGAAGATAAGTCATCCTGAACCAGGACTAAACCAGGACTAAACCTGGACTAAACCTGGACTAAACCTGGACTAAACCTGGACTAAACCTGGACTAAACCTGGACTAAACCTGGACTAAACCTGGACTAAACCTGGACTGAACCAGGACTGAACCAAGACTAAACCTGGACTAAACCTGGACTAAACCTGGACTAAACCTGGACTGAACCAGGACTGAACCAGGACTGAACCTGGACTAAACCTGGACTAAACCTGGACTAAACCAGGACCAGGAGTATTATATCATATTTACATCTATAATTTAGTATTTTTTGTTCCAGCTGTAAGGACAGATCTTTCTGAACGTCTCTGTGATGAATCTTTAGTATAATAATAATATAATATTATTATAAAATCCATCCATGCATGTTCTTCTTCTCTGGGGTCGGGTCTCAGGGGCTTCAGTCTAATGAGAGATTCCCAGACTTCCTTCACCCCAGACACTTCCTCCATCTCCTCTGTGGGACCTGAGGTGTTCCCAGTCCAGTCCAGAGACATCGTCCCTCCAGTGTGTCCTGGGTCTCCTCCTCCCGTTGGGACATGAACACCTCCTGAGGGACACGTCCAGGAGACGTCAGAACAGACGTCCTCCCCTCAGACGCTCCTCTCCACGTGGAGGAGCAGCGGCTCTACTCCGAGCTCCTCACTCTGTCTCTGAGGGAGACGCCCGGACGCCCTGAGGAGGAAACTCATCTGTGTCGCTTGTATCGTGGATCTGGTCCTTTGGGTCATGACCAGAGCTCCCGCTTCACCACAACAATACAGCGACCGCATCACTGCCCACACTGCACCTGTCCACCTGTCAATCTGCCCACACTGCACCTGTCCACCTGTCAATCTGCCCACACTGCACCTGTCCACCTGTCAATCTGCCCACACTGCACCTGTCCACCTGCCAATCTGCCCACACTGCACCTGTCCACCTGTCAATCTCACGCTCCGTCCTCCCCTCACTCCAGAACAATATGAAAATAATAATATAATATCACATGTTGGTACTTCAGTATTACAGTGATATAATGTTTTTGTTCCAGCGCTGTAAGGACCGGCTGAACTCTTTGGCGTCTCTGTGATGAACCTTTAGTATAATAATAATGTGATTTTATATCATTATAATATTTCCTGTTGTTTTTTGTTGTTGTAGTAAATATAAAGTCGTGTTTTTGTTCCAGCGCTGTAAGGACCGGCTGAACTCGTTGGCGTCTCTGTGATGAACCTTTAGTATAATAATAATGTGATTTTATATCATTATAATATTTCCTGTTGTTTTTTTGTTGTTGTAGTAAATATAAAGTCGTGTTTTTGTTCCAGCGCTGTAAGGACCGGCTGAACGTCTCTGTGATGAACCTTTAGTATAATAATAATGTGATTTTATATCATTATAATATTTCCTGTTGTTTTTTTGTTGTTGTAGTAAATATAAAGTCGTGTTTTTGTTCCAGCGCTGTAAGGACCGGCTGAACTCGTTGGCGATCTCGGTGATGAACCTGTGGCCCGGCGTGCGTCTGCGTGTGACCGAGGGCTGGGACGAGGACGGCCATCACTCCGAGGAGTCGCTCCATTACGAAGGACGCGCCGTCGACATCACCACGTCCGACCGCGACCGCCACAAGTACGCCATGCTCGCCCGCCTGGCCGTGGAGGCGGGATTCGACTGGGTTTACTACGAGTCCAAGGCCCACATCCACTGCAGCGTCAAGTCAGGTACAAGCACCATAAAGAGACACTGCGGGACTTTTCTGATGTCTCCATGGTGATGACATGTCACCTTGAATGTTCCAGAGTACAGCTTTAATGACTACACTGCAAAAAAAAACCTAAATTTAGCCACATTAAGACGACAAGAATTTGAAGTTTGATCATGATTTGAGTCAATTTCACTTGACAAATAAAATTATCTGCCACTGGAACAAGATTTTTTTTTTGTACTTAAAATATGAAAACACGACTCACACGTAAAAAAACAAATTTATTTAAAATAAGAAACAAAATCAAATGTTACTTGAATAAAAAAAACTCTTATTCAACTGGCAGATCATTTGACTTTTCAAGTTGAATCGACTCAAATCAAGTCAAATGTTTTTAATTTAATTTATTTTAATTTAAGTGGATATTGTTTTTTCCAGTGTGTCTCAAATTTAATTTAAACACAACTGTTTCTTGCTCAAAAACGTCACATTTCTGTTCAGTTCTCTGTCGGTCACAGCGCTGACGTATTAGACTCAGATCTTTGACAATAATTTCTAATTTTCTTCTGTTTTCTCTTGTTTTTGCATCATTTTCATCCCTCTCTCTTCTCCTCTGTCCTCTACTCCCTTCTCTTCTGTCTCTCCTCCTCTCTTCTGTCTCTCCTCCTCTCTCTTCCTCTTCCTCCTCTTGGTCTCTCAGATCGGGTCGCCAGGGCCCAGTCGTTGACTTGATCGGCCGAGCCCCGCCCCAATCACTCACTCAGTCAGAAGTTTGTATCTTTATTATTTCTTCTTTTTATTTGATTTTATTATTTTAAATCTACGTGTTTGTGTAAATGAGAGAGAGGAGAGAGGAGTGAGAGACTGAGAGACGTGTGGTGTCCTGGTGTTTTCTCAGAGGCAGCTACAGTAGGGGACGACCACTAGAGGGCAGCACAGACTCCAACCTGCAGCAGCAGCAGCTCCAGTTCTAGGAAGGTAACAGGAACTGTCTTTATTTATGCTTTTAAATATTTTCATAGAGATTCATTATTTATTTATTCAGTTCATTATTGAGCAAGTTTCGGATTATTTTTGTGGTTTTGAGCTGCAGATCACAGTTCCACACACAAAACTCAGTTTAGTTTAGTTTTATTTGTACTGAGACATTAAGTTCATAAAAAACAGGTGCATGTAAATATTCCACAGTCTTACTTTATATCAGGAGTCTTTAATGTTTTTCAGGCCAGGGACCCCGACTATAAATATGACATACAAATGTGTTTTAGATTAAACTGGACCTAGTGTTGAGCAAAGTTTGACTTATTTAAATGATGTGACTGAAGGAGAAGAGCCCAGCGCTCACTCACACAGGTGTTTACAGTTTGACAGTAATAAAAAATGTTAAATCAAACAAAGATTTGGCTGCAGTACCTCCGTGACCCCCTAGAGGTCGCAGCCCCCTGTTGAAGACCTCTGCTTTATATTTATTTATTTATTTATAATACAGTTATATTATAATATTATTATAATATTTATTTGAGCAAATCCTAGTGAGACATTTCTCAGTTTTACATTTAAATCAGTGTTAATCCACTTTAGCAGAAATCCTCAAATAACAGAAGTGTGTGTCAGGGACAGTCAGGAGGAAAAGTGAACAGGACAGAAGAAAGTGGAAACAGAAACACTGATGTTGTGATGTCACAAAGTCAAACGTCTCATTATGTCATGGACTTAAAAAAAAATAAAAATCTTTGTCTAACTGCATTTTTAATTTCAGCAGCTAAAAAAATCTGCACATGAGGCTCAGGACAGTGTTAGATAAAAGTAGAATCTCTACAAAACCGTTATGACAAAAGTATAAAGTAGTATGAATGAAACTGTGACATCAGGACATTATTATTATTGAAAAACAAAACATTTGAGACTTGACGTTCACCTCTGCAGCTGCCCCAGAGTTTAACATCTGTCTCTGTGAACACTTTGTCCAACTACACTCTTTTACTCTTTTTCCTGCTCATATTTCTCTTCTGACACGTCCTCTGCTTTCACTTTTATAATAGATTTTCATAAACACTGTTAATACAAAAAGTTTTTTCTTTATAATGGTTTTATTTTCTAAGCGCCGGCTTCATCTGCAAAACTTCAGCCTCATGTCGACGTTTCAAACTGTTTTGTTTTTTTCTAAACTTCATGATCCGTTTCGTTGTGTTTTTACAGATCACTCGGTCGCCGCCAGATCTGGAGGCTGTTTCCCCGGCGACGCCCTGGTCACCACGGAGACGGGACTCCAAAAGCCGCTGCGTGACCTCCGACCTGGCGACCGCATCCTGGCCCCGTCCCGTGATCCACACGGCCGACCGGAGCTCAGCCAAGTCCTGGCGTTTTTGGACCGAGATCCTGAGGTTTTCCAGGTGTTTTATTCCCTCCAAACTGAAGCCGGGGCTGAACTGGTGCTGACTGCGGCGCATTTGGTGTTTGTTGCCGCGGGAAACTGCACAGAGGGGGCGGAGTCTGCCGTTAGAGACTTGACCACGGCATTTGCCAGTGAGGTGCAGGTCGGGCAGTGCGTTTTGGTCCAGGAAGAACAAAGAACGCGGATTTCTCGAATCAAAAACATAAAATTGGTGAAACGTAAAGGAATCTATGCGCCGCTCACCGAACACGGGACGCTCCTGGTGGACGACGTGGCGGCTTCCTGTTACGCGGCGCTGAATCGGCACAGTTTGGCGCATCAGGCTTTCGGTCCGTTACGATTTGTGCACCGGTTTACGGGGATTACGGGACAGAATGAGCGAGGCGTCCACTGGTACGCACAAATGTTGTACTGGTTTGGAAATATGTTCATGGAGCCGAGCAGCTTCCACCCGATGGAAACGACTTAACGCCAAAGCTGAACGATCTTATCCAGGCTGGTGCCACCGACTGCCTCCGCTCAGTTTCATTTCTCTCCAGCGACTAGGTCAGGAATCAGAACCCAGGAAGTGCGAGTTCGGGCACCAGCCAATCAGAGATGAGACAGACATTCTGTGTTGGCGACGATTCCCCAGATCCCCGAGGATTTAAAACTGGAACAAAGAGAATGTTTGGTGAATTTTATCTCGGGGAAAGGCGTTATTGTTCTTCTTCCTACAGGATTTGGAGCTTTACAAACGTCACGAACAAACAGCAGCGACTGGTTCAATAAAAAAAGTCCCCGCCTCCTGTCGAGTGAACGAATCCTAAAGCTGTGAGGTCACACGGTTTACACCAAGTGAAACCGGCTCATGAAACAAACTAGAATGATCTGTTGTTTTGGACAGATTTTAGGAGCGTCAAAGCCTCGTTTTTTTGCAGTGCTCCTAAAGTCTAATTTATGGAGTTATGGATTTGTGTTGAGGTTTATGCGCCGCGAAGTGATTCACCGCCACAACACCAGGAAGTGACGATTTAAACATTGTGTTTAAGTTTAACATGAACCATCTCCAACATGACAGAAACACAGAACAGACTCACCATCAGCAGAACATCCTCTGTCACAGAGAGAACACTCATATTCCACTGAGTCGTGTCCTACAGCGCCAGTCCACACCACAACGTTTTTTGGTCAAAACAGTGAAGTTTTGATTCACTTGGGCCTTTTGTCCACACAGAGTCGGTGTTTTTTGAGGTTCCAGAGTTGTCGTGTGGACAAGCAAACAGGGTTTTGGAAAACGATGACGTCACGACCCGCTGCAGCCGTCGAACTCGCCTCCGTGGACCACAAGAGCCAAAGAGCCGAAATGTGACTTGTGGAATGTGGGGATCTCGTCTCAAACTGGAAAAACCGAACTGGAGACTGAAGGTGAACTCACGTGTTTGGACGCCGCGTTCTGAGCTCTGGACTAAAGCCTGGATCAGTTTGATTTATTTTATGTTGCTGCTCAAAAAGGATTTAATTTATTACAAATGTGGAGATTCTGAAACTGCTGCAGTGACTAAAGGCTTTTCTTTGTTTCGTTTCTGCATAAAAAAAAAACTGTGAGTGTCATGGATCTGTACTCGACTAGAACAACAAATATCATGTTTAGTTGTGAGTTTCCTGAAGAAATCTATTTTTTAAAATAAAGAATATTTAAATTTAAACAGTGTCGGTGTTTTATTTTGTCCTCCAGGAGTCTTGTTCTAGTCCTGGTTTTTACAGCCCTGGGCCTGGTTTAATCACAGTTTAAACCGGATCTAATCTGGTTTTAGATCCAGTTTGATCCAGTTTTAGCATTGGGTCAATTTGATCTTGGTTTAGTTCTGATTGGGTCCCTGGTTTAGACCTGATCTATTTCTTTTTTCCTTTGGTTTGATCCTGGTTTAGTCCTGGTTAAGTTCTGGTTTAGGCCGGGTCTGTTCCCCTATGGTTTGTTCAGGTTTAGTGCGAATTTAGTCCTGGTTTAGTCCTGGTTTATTCTGGTGTAGATCAGGTGCGCCAGACCTGGTGCTTTGATCTGGTTTAGACCGGTTTTAGTCCCAGGTTAGACCTGGTTTAGTTACCTGTTCCTGTGGTCTGGACCTGGTTTAGTCCATGTTTAGTCTGGGTTTGAATGTGGTCTGTTTATCTGTTATTTGATCCTGGTTTAGTCCTGCTTTATTCTGGTGTTGACCCAGTTTAGTCCTGATATAGACCTGCCTGGTCTGTTCCTGATCCTCTTGTGTTTTGATCTGGTTTAGACCTGTTTTATTCCCAGTTTAGACCTGGTTTAGTCCTGGTCTGTTACCTGTTCCCTGTGGTTTGGACCTGGTTTAGTCCAGGTTTAGTCTGGATTTTAATCCGGTTAATTTCCTGTTCTCTGTTATTTGATCCTAGTTTATTTTTTCCTTTCTAGTTTAGTCCTGGTTAAGTTCTGGTTTAGGCCAGGTCTGTTCTCTTATGGTCTGATGAGGCTTAGTCTCAGTTTAGTCCCAGTTTAGACCCGGTTTAGACTCCGTCTGTTCCCGTTTCTCTTGTGGTTTGAGCTGGTTTAGACCTGGTTTACTGCAGGTTTAGTCCTGTTATTTGATTCTGGTTTAGTCCTGGTTTATTCTGGTGTAGACCTGGTTTAGTCCCAATTTAGACCTGGTCTGTTCCTGGTCCTCTTTCATCAGTTTGTACCTTGTTTAGTCCTGGTTTAGTGCAGGTTTAGGCCCGGGTCAGCCCCGGTCTTGTCCCTGTTCTCTTGTGGTTTGAGCTGATTTAGACTTGGTTTAGTCCTGGTTTAGCCCTGGTTAAGTTCTGGTTTAGGCCAGGTCTGTTTCCCTTTGGTCTGATCAGGTTTAGTCCCAGTTTAGACCTGGTTTAGTTCTGGTCTGGTCCCTGTTCTCTTGTGGTTTGAGCTGGTTGAGACCTGGTTTATGCCTAGTTTAGAGCAGATTCACTCCTGGTTTAATCCTGGTTTAGTCCCGGTTTAGACCCGGTTTAGACCCGGTTCAGACCCGGTTCAGACCCGGTTGAGTCCCGGTCTGGTCCCTGTTCTCCGCGGGGGGGTCTCGCCTCTTTTAGCCGCATGTCTGTCTGAAAATAAGCCGCGCGCCAGTTGCTTTGGAGCGACAGTTGCGCGCTAAGAATAACGCGGAGTGTCCCTTTAAGAGCGCGCCACGGGGAAACCCAACACTCCCGCGCGCCTCTTCCTCTCCTCATCAATTAGCGCTCGGGACTGTTACCTGGCCCGTGCACCGCGCCTGCGCACTGGGGCCTCCCTCGTCCCGGGAATAAAGCGGATTATCCCCCGCGCGCGGCTCCTCCAGGACTTCGGGATTAGCGCGTTTCTGTGTCTGTCGAGCCCAAGTTTGCGTCCGTCCGAAAGGGGGTCCGAGCACGCGCCATGGCCGAGATTGGCAAAGGGGTGACCGCGGGGAAACTGGCCAGCAACGTCCAGAAGAGGCTGACCCGCGCGCAGGAGAAGGTAAGAGTCACGCGGGGCACGAAACCAGATACGGTCACTTTTTTACGGTCATCAATTATAACGCGGGTACAGTGTGTCCGTGTCCGTGGGTCTGGAGTCCGGAAAGAGAAATGTCACGACACAAAACTCCCCAAATTTGCCTCTGCGTTTGGATTTTTGTCATGTCGCGTCTGTCAAAAGCAACAGGTGTCACTCAAACTGCCCGAAGTGCCCCAACGCGGCGTAAAATGACCCCTAAAGTCATGGAAAACTTGCATAGCGCGCGTTTGGATCGTTGCGCAACAAAACCGCGCGCGCCCCGGACATTTGACCTTTGCCAAAACGTCTCAACATTTTATTATAAAAGTAGTAAAAACGTGGATCGAGTGACAAACACAAATATCGTTAAAATGACATCGTGACTTGACGTTTCGGGGCTGAAAATAACGTGCGTAAAAAAGACGAGGCCTCCGAATGCCATTTAAAGGTGTACTACGTAACCTTTCAGGAGGGGGGTCAGCCAACTGCTTCCTCCCATTGAACATGTAACTCTACCCGGAATGTTCCACGGTATACGGCATCACATGTGTCTCGGTTAAGACGAGTGACGAGTCAGATCTGTGGAGAGGATTACATGTTTGTTTTTCGAGCTTTAAAATGAGAAATAAACTCACCCAAACAATAATATTTCCATGGAAACAAGCAGGTAATGGATCCCCTACCAGAAAAATGACACAGTGGAGCTTTAAACTTTATATTTAGCCAAACCTGCGATTAATCAGAATAACTGTGACGAGTTAAATATTCAAATAATCATAATTGTTTTCTGATTATTATATGTAATGTGCATGTAAAGCAACTTTCTGGTCTAAAACACAAACTAAAAGACTTTTACAGATTCTAAAACACAAACTAAAAGACTCACCAGGCGAGAAAATACATTTTTGGGTCTGATTGACTCGCCCCAAGAGAACGGGAAGGAAAAAATGTTTCCTTGGGTCTGTGTGACCTCGAGGAGAGTGTGAGGGTTAAAAACACACACTAAAATACTTTTTTATAGACTTAAAAACACACACTAAAAGACTTTTTAATTACAAAGCAGTGCCACCGTTGTACCAAATAGAAAAACATAGAATCTGTTAGTTTTTTTAACAATCGACTTTATTTGTAAATATATAATAATATTCTTTATCTAGAAACTTTCCATCAGCACGAGACGAGAGGGAGAGTGAGAGGAGAGGAGTGATCGATTACTAAAATAATGATTATCAAACCAAACATTGACCAGACTCGTGTCTTTAACTCTTGTTTGTTCACTGTTTTAATCAGTCGTTCAGGAAGCAGCTGCAGGTGGAATCTGTTCAGACTGAAACACACGAGCGACGGGACACGAAACAAACTGTGTCATTCACATTTCAAATGCTGCTTCCTCTTCTTCCAGCAGCTCCATCGTTTCCTCTGCAGCCCTGAGTTTGTGACTTTGTGAGTTTGTGTTGGAGGTGCAGCTGCTTGGGGCCTGAGGCGGGGCCCGGGACCCGGGGTCCGGGGCCACAGCAGCTGCACGTCCACTCAGCGTTTTAATCACACTCATCTGTTCCTCTGTGCGGCTAAAACTGTTACGAAAGAAACCATTACACATCAGAAAATATCTACTACAGCAGCTCCTGCTTCAGTCCTGCTTCAGTCCCTTCAGTCCTGCTTCAGTCCTGCTTCAGTCCTGGTTTAGTCCTGCTTCAGTCCTGGTTTAGTCCTGGTTTAGTCCTGGTTTAGTCCTCTAGTTTAGTCCTGTTTAGTCCTGGTTTAGTCCTGGTTTAGTCCTGGTTTAGTCCTGGTTTAGTCCTGGTTCAGTCCTGGTTTAGTCCTGGTTCAGTCCTGGTTTAGTCCTGGTTTAGTCCTGGTTTAGTTCTGGTTTAGTCCTGGTTTAGTCCTGGTTTAGACCTGGTTTAGACCTGGTTTAGACCTGGTTCAGACCTGGTTCAGACCTGGTTCAGACCTGGTTTAGACCTGGTCTAGACCTGGTTCAGACCTGGTTTAGACCTGGTTTAGACCTGGTTTAGACCTGGTTTAGACCTGGTTCAGTCCTCAGTTTACTCGGTTTGGACTTGGTTTACTCGTCTCATGCTTATTTAATCGGTCTGTCTGTGCGCTGTTTGGCTTGAGTCCAGGTTTAGTCCGAGTTTAAACCTGGTTTAGTACTGGTTTAGTTCTGGTTTAGTTCTTTAGTCTTGGTTAGAGAGCTGGTACTGGTTCAGTCCAGGTCTGGGCCTGGTTTATGTCCAGGTTTAGTCTCAGTTTTGTTCTGTTGGTCCTGATTTATAGAGGGTTCAGTATAGCCCTGATTGAGTCCTGGTGTAGTCCTGTTTCAGACCAGCTTTAGTCCTGGTTTAGTCCTGGTCCAGTCCTGGTTTAGTCCTGGTTTAGTCCTGGTCCAGTCCTGGTTTAGTCCTGGTTTAGTCCTGGTCCAGTCCTGGTTTAGTCCTGGTTTAGTCCTGGTTTAGTCCTGGTTTAGTCCTGGTCCAGTCCTGGTTTAGTCCTGTTTAGTCCTGGTCCAGTCCTGGTTTAGTCCTGGTCCAGTCCTGGTTTAGTCCTGGTTTAGTCCTGGTTTAGTCCTGGTCCAGTCCTGGTTTAGTCCTGGTTTAGTCCTGGTCCAGTCCTGGTTTAGTCCTGGTCCAGTCCTGGTTTAGTCCTGGTTTAGTCCTGGTTTAGTCCCGGTCTGTCCCCACTTGTCTTGTGTTTGTTTACAGAGGTGCGGTTCTGTTTTGTGGAGTGAATCTGAGTTGAGGCTTTAGCGTGATTATCACCGACCGTTATAAACCCAGTTTCACTTTACGCCATCGCTCAGACGCACACTTCAAATGTCACGCACTTATATATGATTCTATAACACCAATCTATAACACCAATCTATGAATCTATAACATGAACCAATAACATGGATCTATAACACTTTACCCCGTCTCTCAGACGCACACTTCAAATGTCATGCACTTATATATGATTCTATAACACTAATTTATAACATGAATCTTATAACACCAACCTATAACCTGGATCTATAACACAAATATATAACACAAATCTAACACCAATTTATAACATGGATCTATAACACAAACCTAATAACACAAACGTATAACATGAATCTATAACACTTTACGCTATCGCTCAGACGCACACTTCAAATGTCATATACTTATATATGGATCTATATCACAAACCTATAACACAAATCTATAACATGAATCTATAACACCAATCTATAACACCAATCTATAAACACATATATAACACTTTACCCCATCGCTCAGGCGCAGTCTTCAAATGTCATATACTTATATATGGATCTATATTACGAACCTATAACACAAATCTATAACACAAATCTATAACATGAATCTATAACACTTTACGCCATCGCCCAGGCGCAGTCTTCAAATGTCACGCACTTTCATGTGAATCTATAACACAAATTCATAACACCAATTTATAACACAAACCTTATAACATAGATCTATAACACCAATCTATAACACTTTACCCCATCGCTCAGGCGCAGTCTTCAAATGTCATATACTTATATATGGATCTATATTACGAACCTATAACACAAACCTTATAACATAGATCTATAACACCAATCTATAACACTTTACCCCATCACCCAGGCGCAGTCTTCAAATGTCACGCACTTATATATGAATCTATAACACAAATCTATAGTATGGATCTATAACATTAATTTATAACATGGATCTATAACACAAACCTTTTAACATGTATCTATAACGTAAACTGATAACATGGGTCTATAACACGAACCTATAAAATAGATCTATAACATGAATTTATAACGTGGATCTATAACATGAACTTATAACACAAACCTTATAACATTGATCTATAAAATAAAACTATGACATGGATCTATAACACGAACCTTTTAACACAGATTTATTTACATTTATTTTTACATGTATAAAATGCACCAGTAAATAATCAAAATGAGCACTTTTGTCGTAGCTCTTAACAATTCAAAATAAAATGTTACATCTTTAGAATGGTCAAAAAACGGTCCTCAAAATGGCGCCTGTCACAGGAACCTGAAACCTGCACCTGTCGGTCCCTGGTGTCCCCTAAAAAAGAAAAAAAAAAAACATATTGGAATTGTGAAAAGTCCTCAAAATGGCGCCTATAAACCGGAAACTTGTGATAGTGTTTTATGCGTTCAAGGATTGTCCTGACCTTGAGCCGATATCCTGATTCGATACTTGGTCCAGGTCATATTTCTGAATCAGATTGATACTCGATACTCGATACCAGGTGTGTAGTTCATTCCTCACGTCTCTGGGACTTTCTCAGACTCAAACAGACCCTGACCTGGACCAGTGAGAACGAGGTGGAACGTCACGTGACTCCTCCCCGCGTCACGTGACCTCGGCGTCGGGCAGCGTCGTCATGGTGATGTCATGTCAGCTGTGCGGCAAAGCATGATGGGAAACGATCACCCGACACTTACGACTTTCCCACAGGAATCCGGATGGAGCGTGAAACCGGACACCGACCCCGACTCCAAATCCAACCAAGATTCTGTGAAATATTCAAAATTCAACTCAAATATCAGGTTAATTAAAAAAATGTATTTAAAAAATTATAGCATCATAAATTAAATATACCATTATTATTATTATTATTATTAGATGAAGATTATTATTTTATACATTCCTTTATTATTTAAAGTTAGTTTTTAATGTTTTAAGCCAAGTAGTTAGAGATTTGAAGTTTTTATTTAGTTTAGTACAAGAGAGAAACATAAACAGTAGAAAGAACAGTAGTAGCAGTTAGTAAACAGTAGTAGAAAGCAGAAATAGTACATAAGCAGTAATAGTAGCAGTAGATAGTAGCAGTAGTAGTTTAGCATAGTAGCAGTAGCAGTTTAGTAGTACAGTACAAAAGTAGTAGCAGTTTTAGTAGCAGTTGTAAGTATAGTAAGTAGCAAGTAGTAGTTAGTAGTAGTTAGTAGTAGTAGTAGCAGTAGTAGTAGTAGTAGTAGTAGTAGCTAGTAGTAGTAGCAGTAGCTAGTAGTAGTAGTAGTAGTAGTAGTAGCAGTAGTAGCAGTAGTAGTAGTAGCAGTAGTAGTAGTAGTAGCAGTAGTAGCAGTAGTAGCAGTAGTAGCAGTAGTAGTAGTAGCAGTAGTAGTAGTAGTAGTAGCAGTAGTAGTAGTAGTAGTAGCAGTAGTAGTAGTAGTAGTAGCAGTAGTAGTAGTAGTAGTAGTAGCAGTAGTAGTAGTAGTAGTAGTAGCAGTAGTAGTAGTAGCAGTAGTAGTAGTAGTAGTAGTAGTAGCAGTAGTAGTAGTAGCAGTAGTAGTAGTAGTAGTAGTAGTAGTAGTAGTAGTAGTAGTAGCAGTAGTAGCAGTAGTAGTAGCAGTAGTAGTAGTAGTAGCAGTAGTAGCAGTAGTAGTAGTAGCAGTAGTAGTAGCAGTAGTAGCAGTAGTAGTAGTAGTAGTAGCAGTAGTAGTAGTAGTAGTAGTAGTAGTAGTAGTAGTAGCAGTAGTAGCAGTAGCAGTAGTAGTAGTAGTAGTAGTAGTAGTAGTAGTAGTAGTAGTAGTAGTAGTAGTAGCAGTAGTAGTAGTAGCAGTAGTAGTAGCAGTAGTAGTAGTAGTAGTAGTAGTAGTAGCAGTAGCAGTAGTAGCAGTAGTAGTAGCAGTAGTAGCAGTAGTAGTAGTAGTAGTAGTAGTAGCAGTAGTAGTAGTAGTAGTAGTAGCAGTAGTAGTAGTAGTAGTAGTAGTAGTAGTAGTAGTAGTAGCAGTAGTAGTAGTAGCAGTAGTAGTAGTAGTAGTAGCAGTAGTAGCAGTAGTAGTAGTAGTAGTAGTAGTAGTAGCAGTAGTAAGTAGTAGTAGTAGCAGTAGCAGTAGTAGCAGTAGTAGTAGTAGTAGTAGTAGTAGTAGTAGTAGTAGTAGCAGTAGCAGTAGTAGTAGTAGCAGTAGTAGTAGTAGTAGTAGTTGTAATAATAATAATAATAATAGTAATAGTCGTAAATTCACAATCTGATCTTTTCTATTTGTGATTTGAGTCAAAAACTCAAACTGTATTTACAACAGAAATCTGTATTTAAACAATCTTCACTTTATTTTCTGTCTGTGTAAATCTGATCTGAGGTCTGTGGAAAAAACTTCTGATGAATCTGAAACACAAAGAAACTTTTATGAATAATACTTGTACTTTGGTGTATCTTTTTCGAGTACTAGTACTTTTCAGAGTGAACTGAGTGCATGAGTTTCTCAGCACTATGTGAATGGAAAGCCCCGTGTGTCGGCCCCGTGCGTCGGCCCCCGAGTCGTGCACCTGTCCAGATCTCCCAGCATGCCTCAGTGCAGGGGGCTGTGCTAACTTTAGCCGCGTGCTAATACTTCAGACCAGTGTGTCGTATTTTTAGAGGAAACGTGACACCGTGACGGACTCATTCAGGCGGCCTCACAGGAGGTTCACATCTGCCCCCGCCCCTCCACACGCACAACTCTCACTCTGTCATTATTCATCTCTAATATTCTATAAAACGTACAAATCCACTCTTCAGGTTTTACTCTTTCTGCCTCAGTTTGTTGTCAGGGGCGGCGCGAACATTTGGCAAAAGTGGACGGCTGCTCTGGGCCCCAAACCTGGAGGGGCCCCAACTAATGTCCCTCACTGCCTCTAATTTGAATTTCTCCCAATATGACATTAAATAAGAATAGTTTACTTTAAAACAATAATCATAAATCAAAAAGTATAATAATCATGTGTAAGTAAATGAAATGACTGTAAATACAATTAAAATACTGTCCCACTTTAACTGTATGTTTTAATAACATTTAATTTGTTTATGTTGTTATGAGGCGACCTTGAGTGTCCAGAAAGACACTTCATGAGTAAAATGTATTATTATTATTATTATTATTATTATTATTATTATTACAATAATGTAATTGTACGAGTAAACAAATAAAATGCAGATTTACTCCTGAAATGCTCATCTAAACGTGGAATAAAAAGTGAAGACACGACGCCACTTTTGCGTTTTATATTCAGACCCTCATCATATAAACAGAGCCTTGGTCTGTCTACATCTTCAAACCTCAAAATGCTCTGTTCCACCTTGTGATGTCATGTGTTTGAGACACATCTACCATTTACTTTTAGTTCACTGGAGAAAGGCGAGTCCTGGGGTTGAAATCATCCTGTGATTCTAGTGAAGGTGTGTGGAGTTTAAAAACACAGTGGAGCATTTCCTTTATTATCCCATGACATCACAAGGTGGAACAGAGTGTTTTCTGTTGGAGATAAGAACTTCTAAATCTGCAGGGTTTGTGTGTTAAACATGTGTGAATGAGAACGAGAGCCGATGTTCCCTCATTTCTAAGATTGTTTTTTTGTTTTTGTTTTTTTGTCCAAAATTAGGAATTTTATCCCAGATTTTATCCCAATTTCTCCCAATTTGGTCGTCAATTACACCTAAACTATTCTCCAGGAGCAGGTGACGTCACTGGAGCGAAGGACCTGAGGTTGAAATGACTCTTTAAATGTGGTATAAAAGTAAAAATGACTTGACTTAGAGTTTCATTTTGAGAAAAATCTTAGAAATAAAAAAAAATCTTTGAAATGAGGGAACATAGATCCGACCTCGTGTGAATGAAACAAAAAACAACTTAAATTTCATGTTCCAAAATTAAGCCCTTAAAAAGTCTTAAATTCTGTTGTCCAAGTCTTAATTTTTTCACAAAGGTCTTAAATTTCATGAACCTTTTTTTGGAAACTCAATCAGGAGCAGTGCAAATGTTCAACAGAGAAAAAAAACCCAACAACAACGTGAAGCTGAAAAAGATGCAAAAAACCCAAGACACTCACTGGTTAAAATAAAATACATTTATTCATTTACAGCTCGTCTTAATGGACAATTTACAAAGTCCCGACATGTTTCAGTCCATGGGCTTTTCTCAGGGGAATTATTTTAACCAGTGAGTGTCTCGGGTTTTTTGTGTCTTTTTACAGACTTCCTTCCCCAAAGAGCAACACTGACTTTGATCTACTGTGTGTTTAACTCTGGACGTCCAGGAAATGCTTCTTTTGAAACCTTTTTTAATGTGAAACTGAAGTTTGCCTATTAAAAGTGGCACAAATGCATCTGTGTTCGTCATGATGTGCGGCTGGTTTGGTAAATGTACAGAGGTTAAATTTCCCTGCAAAACCACTAAGAGAATAGAACTTGAAAAAACAGGTTTAAAAATCATAAACACTTTCTTCACTTTTTTCACAGTTTTGTGTAAAGTACAAGTGGAGGTTCTCTTAAAGAAGAACTTCTCAAACTGTGGGTGAGGGTCTAAAAAAGCAGTGCAGAGTGTTTCAGTGCAGAACAGTTTGTTTGTCTTTGTAATAGTTCGATCATTTAGACTTTTATAAGTAGCTCAGATGTTGAAAAAGTGTGTGCAAACCTGTTCTAGACACAGTATTTGGTTGGTGATTATTAAAATTGGATCAGGTGTTTTTCGCTGCATAATGAGTGTGATGTTGGTCTTAATTTTCATGTTAGTGGTCTTAAAAAGGTTTTTAAAAAGTCTTAAATTTGGGCTTGTCAAACCTGGGGACACCTGCAGTTACGACATTATAATCCGGTCTTTTTAAACCGTGAGTTTACTGAGGACACAAGGCTCCAATCTGGCCCTCGCCTGATTTTCTACTAAAATATTTGAATTATATTTTCTATTAAAATCTGGTTAATTTTCTGTGGTGTTTATCACAGCAGTGTCTCTGTACGTGGCCCCTCCCACCAGAGCAGCACAAATGAAGACTTGTCTCTTTCCAAACGCTCTTAAAGGACGATCGTTTTGACTGTTGACCGTGACACCCTCATCAGAAAAATGTCCAACATGAGAAAAGTGGAGCCGAGTGCAGGATTTTACAACAAAAATGGACTTATTCCTGTTTACAGACAAGTTCATGTTAAAACTTTGTGTTGAAGTTGTATTTTTCAGGTTGTTCATAATATTTGTAATAGATTTGTGTTTCTCTGCACAAATATTTGAACTTATTGTTATTTTTGGGGTTTATATGTCATGAGTTTTCTGATCCGGACACTTTGGATCAAAGTCGGTTGGATTCGGCCCCCGGACCAAAATGAGTTTGACTCTCCTGATATAAACGTAACCTCAGACGGCAAAAAATGTGTCCAAACTTTGTGGCAGTAAAATGATAAAATATTCATCAAATTAAAATCACTCCTGACGTAAACTTGTGTTGAGTTTTGTGTCAGTCTGACGTGTCTGAAAACATAATCGACGTAACTGTGTGAAAAGCAGTGATCTTTAACATGTGTCTTCTTCTTCTTCTCTGCGTGTGTCGTTTGCAGGTCTTACAGAAGCTGGGCAAAGCCGATGAAACTCGAGACGTGGTCTTCGAGGAAATGGTGGCCAACTTCAACAAACAGATGGTGAGAACATTAAACCTCCAACATGTTTAAAAAGAGAAACACCACTCACTCTTATTCAATTTATTTTTTATTATTCATGTCCTCACTTAAAGTTTTTTATGTCCTTCATGTCTTTAATTAAAGCTGCACGGTGTCACTTTTTGGTTGGGGGGTCTGTCACCTGTTTGTTTCTATGGAGACATCGCTGCTCTGCCTGGAATGTTCCACAGTGTGACTTTAAACAGCTCCACTTCACATTTATTCAGTTACAGTTGGTTGTAGATTTGGTGTGGTTTGGTCTCCATGGAGACAGAAAGGTTTAATGCCACACTGTGAAACATTCTAGATAAGACAATAACAGATCCTCCACCAGAAAAGTTCCACAATGCAGCTTTAAATCTGACTGATGTACTTTTTGTCTCAGAATGAAGGCACGAAGCTGCAGAAGGATCTGAAATCTTACCTGGCCGCGGTTAAAGGTACGACTGCAGACAGACGATCACACTTAAAGACACACTCTGTAACTTTTCCATCATCATTCATCTTGTGTTGTTTCCATAGCGATGCACGATGCGTCGCGGCGGCTACAGGACTGTCTCGCCGACATGTACGAGCCCGAGTGGTTTGGGAAAGAGGAGATGGACGCTCTCGCAGAGGTCAGACCCACAAACTTTTACTTTAAACACAGGTGGAAAAGGACAGAAAAAATATTTTAGTAAAAGTATTTTTACTTTGTTGGGAGGTTAAAAATCACAAAAGTTAATTTTGTGTAATATTAAGGCCCCGTTCACACTAGTGTGTATGTGAGTGGTGTTGTTTGTGTGTACAGTGTTTGTTCACACTAATCTGACTGAAAACGGCTCCAGAGACGGAAAGATCTGGTGCCGGTGATCTGTGGGACTCCTGAAAACTCTGATACTCTGATGTGTGTCTGTCACCACAAAACACTGAGAGTCTAGAATATGTGTCCATTCACATAAACGTGTGTCTGTGTGTACGACCTGCACACATATAATGTGTGAAAAGTTTCAGACACAAGAAACAACAGTTTTTATCCCACACATTAGTTTCGCTTCTGTGTTTCTTCTGTCTTCTGTCTTTCTTCTGTTGTTGCAGCGTTGGTCCAGATTTATTTTAGTTTTTTGTTTAATTTCTGTGACTCTTTGTGTTTGTGTAAAACGTCTGTCCTCTCGCTCTGAAGGAGATGATAGAGAAAGAGCTGGACAATAATCTGGAGGTAAAACTAAAGACCTGCTGTAGTCCTGGTTTAGTTCTCCTGTAGTCCCTGGTTTAGTCCATGGTTAGTCCTGGTTTAGTCCTGATTTAGATCTAGTTGAGTCCTGGTTGAGACCTGGTTTAGTCCGACTCTGAGCTGGATTATGAACCTTGTGACATTTTAAACCTCCCGAAAATCTCCTTCTTTAGTTTTCTCCATTTTAGAATGTCCACTGTGCATCCTCTGACCCCTCTGACCCTCTGACCCTCTGACCTCCTCTGACCCCCTGCTCCTCTGACCCTCTCCTCTTCTCCACCTCTGCTCCTCTGACCCTCTGCCTCTGACTCCTCTGACCTCTGCTCCTCTGACCTCCTCTGACCCTCTCCTCTTCTCCACCTCTGCTCCTCTGACCTGCTCTCCTCTGACCCTCTGCTCCTCTGACCTCTCCCTCTGACCCTCTGACCCTCTGACTCCTCTGCTCCTCTCCTCTGCTCCTCTGACCCTCTGCTCTCTGACCCTCTCCTCCTCTGACCCTCTGCTCTCTGACCCTCTGCCTCTGACCCTCTGCCTCTGACCTCTCCTCCTCTGCTCCTCTGCTCTCTGACCCTCTGCTCCTCTGACCCTCTGCTCCTCTGACCCTCTCTCCTCTGCCTCTGACCCTCTGCTCCTCTGACCCTCTGCTCCTCTGCTCTCTGACCCTCTGCTCCTCTGACCCTCTGCTCCTCTGCCTCTGACCTCTGCTCCTCTGACCCCTCTCCTCTGCTCTTCTGACCCTCTCCTCCTCTGACCCTCTGCTCCTCCTTCTCTGACCCTCTGCTCCTCTGCTCTTCTGACCCTCTCTCCTCTGACCCTCTGCTCCTCTGCTTCTCTGCTCCTCTGACCCTCTCTTCTGTTCTTCTGACCCTCTCCTCTGACCCTCTGCTCCTCTGCTTCTCTGCTCCTCTGACCGACCCTCTTCTCTGACCTTCTGTTCCTCTTCTGACCCTCTCCTCCTCTGACCTCCTCTCGTCTCTTCTGACCCTGTGTTGTTCTGTCCTTCTCTTGTAGGACACAGACACACTTTGGTTGGATTTCCACCAAAGCCTCACAGACAAATCCGTCGTTACCGTGGATACGTACCTGGGACAGTTTCCCGACATCAAGGTGAGAGTTTCAGGTTTGGAGCAGATTCTACTTGTAGTTGCCGTTGTCCTAGTTGTTGTCGTAGGTTCTCATCGTTGGTCATTAATCACTAAAGTGCGCTTGTGTGCGCGTTGTGTGTGCGTGTGTGTGTGTGTGTGCTGTGTGTGTGTGTGTGTGTGTGTGTGTGTGTGTGTGTGTGTGTGCGTGTGTGTGTGTGTGTGTGTGTGTGTGTGTGTGTGTGTGTGTGTGTGTGTGTGTGTGTGTTGTGTGTGTGTGTGGTGTGTACGTGCGCCCCCTGCAGGCTCGTATAGCGAAGCGCGACCGTAAGATGGTGGACTTCGACAGCGCCCGACACCACTTCGCCAACTTACAGAAGGGCAAGAAGAAGGACGAGGCCAAGATCGCCAAGGTGAGTCCCGCGGCTGCTATGGCCACATTCTCCTTCAGTTCTTTCCCGCTCCGTGTTACTGTACGATAAAAATACTTTGTTGTATTTTAGGATGTACTTGATACTTTACTTTTTTCTGACTTTGTGACTCTGTGTTTGTCAAACTAACCTGATGTTTTTGGCTTTAATTGTTTTACTAATCTTGTGTTTTTGGTTTTCCGTGGCGTGGTTGCCCTGGTTGCCGTGGTTACCTGGGTTGCCCTGGTTGCCGTGGTTACTGCGGTTGCCGTGGTGCTGCATGGTGTGTGCGGTGTTAGCCCACGGCCCTCCTGGAAATGGCCGCCCCCAGCTGGGCTCAGGGTTTGATTTCTGCTCATCAGGTGGCTCAGACTAACCTCTCCTACAACCAGGTGACTCTCCTCTAAAGTACTCAAGTACTCTCTCAAATATACTCAAGTACTCTCAGACTAACCTCTCCTACAACCAGGTGACTCTCCTCTAAAGTACTCAAGTACTCTCTCAAATATACTCAAGTACTCTCAGACTAACCTCTCCTACAACCAGGTGACTCTCCTCTAAAGTACTCAAGTACTCTTTCAAATTACTCAAGTACTCTCAGACTAACCTCTCCTACAACCAGGTGACTCTCCTCTAAAGTACTCAAGTACTCTCTCAAATATACTCAAGTACTCTCAGACTAACCTCTCCTACAACCAGGTGACTCTCCTCTAAAGTACTCAAGTACTCTCTCAAATATACTCAAGTACTCTCAGACTAACCTCTCCTACAACCAGGTGACTCTCCTCTAAAGTACTCAAGTACTCTCTCAAATATACTCAAGTACTCTCAGACTAACCTCTCCTACAACCAGGTGACTTTCTCTCCTCTAAACTACTCAAGTACTTTCTCAAATATACTCAAGTACTCTCAGACTAACCTCTCCTACAACCAGGTGACTCTCCTCTAAAGTACTCAAGTACTCTCTCAAATATACTCAAGTACTCTCAGACTAACCTCTCCTACAACCAGGTGACTTTCTCTCCTCTAAACTACTCAAGTACTCTCTCAAATGTACTCAAGTACTCGCTCAGACTAAAGTACTGTCTCATGTACAAAAGTATTTAAGAACAGTGGGGACGTCCAGAACTGTCAGTTTGGTTAAAGCTGCACTATGTAACTTTTCTGGTGAGGCTCTGTCTCCTGCTCGTCTCCATGGAGAAGTGTTCGGACACTGTGGAACATTCCAGAACAGCGTCTGTGACAGAGAAGGTCTCAGAGGCTCAGCTAAAAAATGTAACTGTGGTTCTATGAATCCTGGATGATTCTGAAAGCACTGACTGTCTGCATGCTCCACGAGTCCTTCAGTGGTTTCAGCTGCGCCCTCTGCTGGTCACGACGGAGGAGATAGAATTTACATAGTGTCCTTTAAAGTTCTGACATGGAAAAGTGACTTGGAACTCGGAAAAAGTGTTTTGATTTGAGTAAAGTAAAAACAATAAAATGGGTTTAAAAGTTTAACCACATCTCAGTTGTTTGGCTCTAAACATGGACTCAATTCTGAGACTAAACCAGGTCTAAATGAGTGCTCAACCAGGACTAAAACTGGTCTAAACCAGGACTAAAACCAGTCTAAACCAGGACTAAAACTGGTCTAAACCTGGACTAAAACCAGTCTAAACCAGGACTAAAACTGGTCTAAACCTGGACTAAGTCAGGACTGATGTGCTGAATGTTCAGACTGTGTCTCACTGTTTGACTAAAGCCTGAGGTTGAGTTTGTTTGCCGTGTTTTACTCACATTTCTCTCATACAAACTCATGATTTACATGTGTTAACTTTTATCTTTATCCCTCTCTCCTCTCCTCTCTTCTTCTTTCTCTCTTTCCTCTGTCCTTTTCTGTGTCTCGTTCAGGCGGAGGAGGAGTTGGGCAGAGCTCAGAAGATCTTTGAGGAGCTGAATGTGGAGCTTCAGGACGAGCTCCCGGTGCTGTGGGACAGGTCAGAGCCAGCAGGGGGCGCTGTGCGGGACTGGGACTAGGACTAACCCAGGACTAAACCAGGACTAACCTAGGACTAAACCAGGACTAAACCAGGACTAAATCAGGACTAAACCAGGACTAAACTGTGCTGATCAGGACTAGAGGTGAAAACCAGGACACGACAGACCAGGACTAAACTAGACCTGGAACAGAAATGAAATGACTTTTGTTTGTCTTTTTCATGCGTTCGTATAATTCTGTTTATTTTTTACTGAACTTTTGCTCAGATTATTATTTTTCTGAACTCAAACGTTGTGTTTGCAGCCGTGTTGGCGTGTACGTGAACACATTCCAGACCATGGCCAAAAACCAGGAGAAGTTCCACCGAGAGATGGGCAAGGTAAGACCTGATTTAGTCCTGGATTAGTCCCAGTTTAGTCTAGTTTTAGTCTTGTTTTAGTCCTGTTTTACTCTGGTCTTATTTTGGGTTTAGACCTGACTTAGTCCAGTTTTAGTCTTGTTTTAGTCCTGTTTTACTCTGGTCTTATTTTGGGTTTAGACCTGACTTAGTCCTGGTTTAGTCCTAGTTTAGAAATGTTTGTATTGAACTTAGTTAATCAGCATCATAATAAATAAAATGTTGTTCTCTTCTACAGTTGAGTGAAAACCTGAACGACATCATGACCAAACTGGAGGAGCAGCGAGAGCTCAAGTACGTCCACATTTTTATATTAAAATATCATATTTTTGGTAAAAAAAAAAATAATAATAAAAAATAAATAAATACATAAATAAGTAAAGTGTGTTATAACGACATGTTTACTGCAGAAAGGGAGAGAAGAAACACGAGGCTGTGAAGAGGTAAAAGAGACTCTGATAAACAGTTTTAATTCTGAGCAGAGGTGGGACAGTCGCCAAAATATACTCAAGTACTTTAAAATAATGTTAGTCATGTAGAAGTACAGTGTTCCAGGAGTAAGTGTCTGGACTAAACATCTGATTTATAATTTTAAATGTAATTGGAAAAACAAAACATGAATTAAAGTGATAAAGTCTGGTGTTTTCAAAGGACAAACACAAAATGAGACAAACTAAATTAGATCTGAAGGAGCTGCAAGAAAAACAAAATGGTGTCGTAGTACTCGAGCCCGGCCTCAAGACTCTTTTTTTACGGTCTTGGTCTAGTCTCGGACACGTTTGGACTCTTGAAGGTGCTTGGACTCGGTCTTGTGTCGGTCTTGAGTTCTGACACTGGACGAGTGATAAAATGGAGATAGATTTATAAAAACGTTGATATAAATCTTCCAAAATAACTATAAAATACAAATAAATGTAGAATGAAATGACAACGATGGTCTTGTCGGCCTTGTCTCCTTCTCGAACCTCACAGGTCTTGGTCTTGTCCTGGTCTCGGGCCCCTGTGGTCGTGGACTGGTCTTGGTCTCAATTAGTGCGGGCTTGACAACTTTTACTTGAGTAAAAACACTGTTACACTGTACAATATATTATGTAAGAATAAAAATATTGTGTCTGAAAACTCTGAGAAGTACAATTTATTCCAAAAGTTACTTCTGTCCTCCTCTAATTCAGAATATTGCATGGGATTTGGACTGAAGAAAAATGCAGTGTAAATAACATAAATGAGATAAAGATTTGAAATGTGAAATCTGTCTAGTCACTAACAAACATTTTGTTTTGCAGTGCGTTTGTAGATTTGCCTGGTCTGTTTGCTGTGGTGCTTTCTCCCTCTTGTGGACAAACTGGGACATTACAACTGTTTCTGATTTTTATATTTTTTTCTTTTTCAGTGAGGAGGCAAACCACAGCGAATCAGCCGCCTCAGCACCCAAGGTAAAACTACAAAAACCCGTCTATTTCAGAACATGTTTTTAGTTTAAACCAGCAGCTTTTACATAAATAATAAATAAATAATAAATAAATAACACTGTACAAGGACTCATACTAATCCTCGTGTGTGTTGCTGCACGCTGCATGTTACTGTGGTATAATTGGTTCTAACACAGCGGCCCGGAGCCCCGCCCACTCGCCCGCCTCCCACGCTAAGCCCCGCCTCCGAGCCGAGAGGAGACAGCCCATTGGACGAGGAGGCGTCCGTCAACCCCGCCTCCCAGGTTTGCGTTAAGAGTTTTCACAGGATCATGTCTGTAGTGTATCTGAGTAGAGTTTCATGAGTAATGAGTCGTGTCCTTGTGTAGTCCAGCGAGGCCTGGGTGGATCTGCTCAACTGGGACGCTCAGGTGTGGCAGCCCGTCACACCTGCGCCTCAGGTGGGGCCTGACCGCAGTCGTCATGGTGACAGTGTGCTGTTTTGTGCTGTGTTTTCTGCTTTTTGAACCTGCGTGTTGTGATTTTCCTCCTGAGGATGTTTGAAAAGGATCATTGTAAAGATCTTTGTAAGTGCTGCAGGACGGTCGAGGGGTCGAGGGGTCGAGGGGTCACGGCACATGTGCAGGAGAGACACATCAGAGTCCTGCACGGGTCCGTTTTTGGAGACCTGCACCTGCGCCGTACACCACCACCCCCCCGCCCATTAACCTACAATTATTTCTCAGTTAAATCCGCTCTAGTGGTCTGCGCGGAACTGAATTTTCAGTCACTTGCACTGTGAAGTCCCATTCCCGCCCACAAAGCCCAAAAAATGTGGACATTCACTTTCTTAAACTCTATCAAACACGGAGAAGTGGAAAGGAATTGTGTAAAACCTGCGTGAGATTAGAGCTCGTCCACAAGTTTAGTCTGTTTAAAATGTTTTTATTAAAGCCAAATCAATTCTCCAGCACAAATGATGTATGACAGACAAACATGAATCATTTATATATTTTACTTTACTCTCATATTTAGTTTATCCTCCCACCCGCCTGCTCAGCTTTCAAAATGTGTCTGGTGCTACAAGGTTTTGCGCCGGGTCCCGCGGGCAGTGCAGGGCTCGAATCTGCACCCGCCCGGACCCTTTAATATTCTACCTGTTATCTGCCCATTAATCCCACAGCCCAATAGTCCAGGACTGAAACAGGACTTAATCAGGTCTAAACAAAGTCTAAATAAGGACTAAACCAGGTCTAAACCAGGACTAAACCAGGTCTAAACCAGGTCTAAACCAGGTCTAAACCAGGACTAAACCAGGTCTAAACCAGGACTAAACCAGAACTAAACCAGGACTAAACCAGGACTAAACCAGAACTAAACCAGGACTAATCCAGATCTAAACCAGCTCTAAACCAGGTCTAAACCAGGTCTAAACCAGGACTAAACCAGGTCTAAACCAGGACTAAACCAGGTCTAAACCAGGACTAAACCAGGACTAAACCAGGTCTAAACTGGGTCTAAACCAGGACTAAACCAGGACTAAACCAGGACTAAATCAGGTAAACCAGGACTAAACCAGGTCTAAACCAGGACTAAACCAGGACTAAACCAGGACTTAATCAGGTCTAAACCAGGTCTAAACCAGGTCTAAACCAGGACTAAACCAGGACTAAATCAGGTCTAAACCAGGTCTAAACCAGGACTAAACCAGGACTAAACCAGATCTAAACCAGCTCTAAACCAGCTCTAAACCAGGTCTAAACCAGGACTAAACCAGGACTAAACCAGGTCTAAACCAGGTCTAAACCAGGACTAAACCAGGTCTAAACCAGGACTAAACCAGGTCTAAACCAGGACTAAACCAGGTCTAAACCAGGACTAAACCAGGTCTAAACCAGGACTAAACCAGGACTAAACCAGGTCTAAACTGGGTCTAAACCAGGACTAAACCAGGACTAAACCAGGACTAAACCGGGTCTAAACTAAACCAGGACTAAACCAGGACTTAATCAGGTCTAAACCAGGACTAAACCAGGTCTAAACCAGGACTAAACCAGGACTAAACCAGGACTTAATCAGGTCTAAACCAGGTCTAAACCAGGTCTAAACCAGGACTAAACCAGGACTAAACCAGGACTTAATCAGGTCTAAACCAGGTCTAAACCAGGACTAAACCAGGACTAAACCAGATCTAAACCAGCTCTAAACCAGGTCTAAACCAGGTCTAAACCAGGACTAAACCAGGACTAAACCAGGTCTAAACCAGGTCTAAACCAGGACTAAACCAGGACTAAACCAGGACTTAATCAGGTCTAAACCAGGACTAAACCAGGTCTAAACCAGGACTAAACCAGGACTAAACCAGGTCTAAACCAGGACTAAACCAGGACTTAATCAGGTCTAAACCAGGAGCGCAGCCGCTGATCTCCTCCGCTGATGGATTTATGAAATAAAAACACTAAAGTCACTCTCGATCTGTTCTGCTGTAGTTACATGAAAAGACAGGAAATGTCTCTTGTTTCCAGGGCAACAGACGTCCTGAACGTGAATCAAGTATTTTTCTCAAGTATATCGTTCTTTTGTTTCACCTGACCTGCCCGTGTGTGATCACTACACACCTGTAAAACTCTAGAACAGGGGTCACCAACACGTTGCCCGCGGGCACCCAGTCGCCCGTAAGAACCACATGAGTCGCCCACCGGCCTGTTCTAAAAATAGCTCAAATAGCACCACTTACCAATGAGCTGCATCTAATTTATTTTGTTTGCGCTTCTTGTTTAAATCAAACTTACACATAATCTGGAAATAACAATATATTTTTAAAAAAACTTAAAAAAATGTTGAATATAAATGAACTATGACCTAGTTTCGTTCAAAGGTCAGTACGATGCGCAACCAAAATGTAGCGTCTACGGCAGATTGCTACGACCAAACAACCTAGCGGGCGCAGCGAGAATGAGAGATGACTGACCCATAAAAAGATGGCAGAAAAAAGAAAGAAGACATATCATTTTCAGGACGAATGTGAGGTCGAGTTTTTTTATTACGACTGTGAAAGGAGCATGTGTTTGTATTATTTGCGGGGCGACATTTCACAACGTGTCACACAAACTCCCATGCTAACTATCCACAGGGCAGTGCACTGCGACTGTTGTAGAAGTGATCATTTTAAAATATTTTTGAACGTTTTTTATTTATTTAAAAAACACTTGTACTAAGCCAAAATATAGAAATAAAGTGTTGCATATTGATATTAATCTGTTCCCGATCTTGTTAAATCATTGTTGATATTCATTGTGAGAAATCATTAACATGATCAGTGTCTTTGCAGAGATGAATATCATTAACTATTAATAATGACATTTAGTTAAAGGTAAATTGAGCAAATTGGCTATTTCAGAAGTGTTATCAAACTGGTAGCCCTTCACATTATTCAGTACCCAGGAAGTAGCTCTCGGTTTCAAAAAGGTTGGTGACCCCTGCTCTGGAACGTTCAAATTCATACATTTCAGGAACCATTTGCGGGGACCCGACTCGGTGCAGGACTCTGAGACACATCCAAGTTTGTCTCAGTCTCAGTTCATGTTCAGGCCTCATGAAAGAAGCTCCCAACCTCCAGAACTGCCTCCCTGAGCTGCAGACGCTGCACTAGCACTGACTCAGGACTGGTGCAGGTTCTGGGGTTTAGTTCGTGACTGTTCAGATCAGAGAGAGAGGACAGGTTTATGAAATGACCTCCTGTCTCTTAAATCTGTTTCTGAAGCATGTTTTGTTGAACTGTAAGTCTGGTTCTTTTCTCTTGTTGTCTTTTTGTTTTTTGGTTTGTCCTGTTGAACTTGAGAAGCTGTTGTCTCACTGTGGAATGGAAATGTGACAGAAACATTTGGACCACGCTGCTCTTCTGGATTTACTCTTTTTTTTTACACACAACTCTTTATTTATCAGTACAGTTCACTGTCTGTGGGTTTTGGAGGGTTTAAAACATGCAAATAATAACAAATATATACAGATAGACAAACAAAATATGAAAAAAAACGACTTGAAAACTACTAAATATAGACTAGAACTTGAACCATTACTACTACCACTATTGTTTACATGTTTTTCTCCTTTTTTGCTGCCAAACGGAAGGCTCCTTCATGGGACGCTTGGGTAAGAAAACTCCAGAGATAAAACAAGAATTCCGAACATTTCAGAACGTGTTTGTAGACGTCTCAACTACAGGGTTAGACGCTTAGAATAAGACGTTAGAATAAGACCCTAGAGACACGGGGAGGGCATCTGGGACATAATAATACCTAAATAATACATACTGTTTAAATTTGTGGTCAGTGTTTGTTCAGTGTATTTCTAAATTTCTGTCTTTTATCCCATTTATCAAACCCAAATCTGTCCTGTAAACCTCCCAATCCCCAAATTATTCCTAAATTATCCCCAAATTATCTCTAAATTATCCCTAATTTGTCCCTAAATTATCCCTAAATGATCCTAATCTGACCCTGGACCCTGTAGCAAGACTCTGCAGATCAGGATTACAGCCAAACAGACCCACAGACCACGGAAGATCCTCAGAGCTGGGACCAAACCCCAGACTACACAAACCCGGACTACACAAACCCGGATTACACAAACCCGGATTACACAAACCCGGACTACACAAATCCGGACTGGGGCCAAAGTCCTCAAAGTTACACAGAGTCCGCCTGGGACCAAGACCAGGTACTCACAGGGACTAGGCTAGAGGAGACGTGGTGATTAAATTCAGTGGAACAAACCCTATTTTAAGTTATTTTATTTTTGTTATAATTTTTATAGTTTTATTTTTTGAATTTAATTAATGTATTTAAATGTATTTATTATTTATTTTTATTAATTTTATTTTTTATTTTTTGAATTTTATAATTTTGAATTTTGATTTTTATTAAATTTTATTATTTATTATTATTTATTCAATATTTATTTTATTTTATTAATTTTATTAGATTTTTATTTCTTGAATAGTATTTTTAATTATTTAAATTTTTTATTATTTTATTTTTAATTCATTATTTTATTTTTTGATTTATTTATTTATTTAGTAGTATTGTGACAAATTAATTTGCTTAAACAGTGGTGTAGTAGTTTGAACGTTTCCCCTCAGTGAAAGAGTTGTTGGTTCTTCTGGGTGCTTACTGTTGTTGTTGTTGTTGTTGTTGTTGTTGTGTCCCTGAGCAAGACACTTCCCCAGAGAGCGTTCACTACAGTAACAGTATAACAGTCTATGGGCTGGTTGGGCGTCTGGACTGGAGGAACTCTCCATTTTATGTCATAAACATTTAAATATTTATTTTATTTTGTTTCAGGGCGCGGTCACAAACGGCTCAGACGGTGAAATGCCCCCAGGATTTCTCTACAAGGTCAGAACAAGATTTAAAATTATATAAGAGACAAATATAAGGTACAGATGAAGAGAATGAATGTTTGTGTTGAAGGATTCTAAGGTCAGATCTGTCAGAAACCAGGACTAAACCAGGACTAAACTAGGACTAAACTAAGACCAAACCCAGACTAAGACTAAATCAGGACTAAACCCAGATAATTTATAAAAATGTTGATGGTGAAAATAATATTAGTTAAGTTTAGTGACTAAAAATGTTTATTTAAAAAAAAAAGAGCGAGAGAAAAGGAATTTAAAAAAATTATAAATTGGCCAAATAAAAAAAATAAAATTAAATAAATTTAAAAAAGACTAAGACTAAGGACCGGGTCTTAACAGGAGTGTGTGTGTGTGTTTGCAGGTGAAGGCGGTTCACGATTACGCTGCGACTGACGGAGACGAGTTGGAGCTCAAAGTTGGAGACATGGTTTTGGTCTTGGCCTTTGACAACCCCGACGAACAGGTCTGAGTCCAGTTTAGTCCCGATTCTGCATTAAAGCTGCACCACGTCACTTTTCTGACGTTTACTTCTGTTTTGTTGCTCAGAAATACACTGAAAAACCTGCGTTCTGTGAGCAGGGCTTCCTCTGCACAGATCTGACTTGTAACTTGGCCTGGTCTGTCTCAATGGAGCGAAGTTTAATGCCATAAAATATAATAACATATCCATGGAGACAAGCTGGAAAAGTTGCATAATATAGCTTTAATTACTACACAGAATTGACTCTCTCAGGACTAAAGCAGGACTAAACCGTTTTCAGTCCTGGTCTGGTTCCGGTCTGGTTCCGGACCTGGTTCAGTCCTGGTTTAGTCCTGGTTTAGTCCTGGTTTAGTCCTGGTTTAGTCCGTTATCCGTTTTTTCCATTTTTCATTTAAACACAAAATCAAAAACTGAAAAAAATGAATCATTATTTGTTTTTTTCATTTTGGTTTTGGAGACAAATAATGAAGAAAATAGTTGTTTTTTTTGTTTTCTTATTTTCGGTTTTATTTTGAAAAACAAATGAACGAACAACACACGGATTAACAACTCCAGGTCTGTTTATGACGAGGAAACTACATTAGAACCGAGACCAGAAAATAATGTAATATGTCAACTTTAAATGTTTTTTTTTTATGTTTTTTTGATATGTTCCTTTTGTTCATGTTCAGAAATATGTATTTATGTTCATTTTCCGATTTTTTTGTCATTGTTGTTGTTCTTTTTAAATTGATGCCAACCAAATAATAGCGCGAACAATAAATAAATAAATAAACGTGACTCTAACTTCTTTTTTGGTCTCTGGTCTTGGTTCTAGGACGACGGTTGGCTCTTGGGTCTGAAGGAGTCTCACTGGGTCCAGAAAAAGGACTTGAAAGGAAAAGGCGTCTTCCCCGAGAACTTCACCACCAAAGTGTGAGCCCGGGTCGAAGTCCTGGTCCAGTCCTGGTCCAGACCCGGACTGTCTCTGCTGTAAAACTCCAGATTAACTGAACAAGAACTGTTACTTTTATTTCAGTAGTAAAATAGTTCTAGATCAAATCCTTATATATTTTATCTTGTTGTAGATCTGGGTTAGTTTAGTCCTGGTTTAGACCTGGTTAAACCTTGGGCAGACCTGGTTTAGGCTCGGGTAGGACCGGTTCCTCTCGTCAGGCTCTCGTCCTGATTGAGTCCTGGTTTAGTCCTCGGTCTTGGTTTAGATCCGGTGTAGTACCACGTCCCGGTTTAGTCGTTCTGATGAAATAACTTTTTAAAAATCTTGGTTTAGTCCTGGTTTAGTCCTAGTTTAGACCGGGTTTAGTCCATTCGAGGAAATTTTGGGGTTGAATTTTTATGATTTATTGTCATCGAAATGTAAAAGCTAAAAAATAATCCCGCGGAAATGTTCTTTTTGTATTTGTTTTGTCCGGCTCCAACGCTCCCAGCTACAAACCCACACATAGAAATGAAATGTTGTCTTTTATTATAATTCTTTGTACGTGAAAGTCCTCGTGGTGGGAGGAGTTCTTCTCATGGCCTTCCTCAAGCAGCAAAGCCAAAGCTGCCGTTGAATCGTGACTCGGATTGACTTGTTTTTAAATGAAAGAATCGTCCAAAAGTTGTTTTGAAGAGAGATTTTTACACTGTGTCTGTGACGATCAAGACAATGTTGGTTTCAGTCAAAGTTAATAAAAAATGCTGATAAAAAAACTATAGAAATGTGTTGTTTTTTTGTTTTTTTTGGTGGTGTGTTGAGATCTGATTGTTTTTCAGGTAACAGTTGACACTTTGCAGCTGATCTCATCAATATTCCCGGGGAGTCTGGATCTAACTGTTGGCCCTGTTCTGTCTGAAGATCGGTTACTCAAGTTTAGACTTCAGTCTGAGTTTTGTTTTACGACAATCTGGTAAAACTACAACAGGTGAGCCAACAGTTTTTCCCTGGGGTCAGCCCTGTAGATCTTTTTCTCAACGATCGGAAGTGCCACGATGTCGGGTAAATGTCACTTATGTTAATGGTTTTCTGTGGCAAAATATCTGTAAAAGTCTGACGTATTCTCCAGCCCCGTCCCTGAACCGTCGCCTTATCGTGGTGAAGGGGTCTGAGCGCCTGAATGATCCCGGGAGCTCTGGTGTCAGGGTCAACCGAGGCAAACAGGTCGAGGGACGGGTCAGACCAAGAGCCCCATGTGATGAAAGACACACACAGGCCAGAAACATCGCCCGGAATGGCATTACTGGGGCCCCACCCGGGAGCCATGCCTGGGATGGGTGCGCCTGGTGGCCGGGCCTTCTCCCACAGTGCCCAGCCGGACTCAGCCTGAAGGAGCCATACGGGGCTGGTGCAGAGAGATCTGGGTGTCAGTCGAAGGCGAGGGCCTCAACGACTGGGTCGTCGACAGCGTGGGCAGTGATGCAGTCGCTGTATCGGACCGTTGTGGTGAAGAGGAGCTGAGTCTCACAAAGTTGGCACAAATGAGTTTCCTCCGCAGGGCGTCTGGGCGTCTCCCTTAGAGACAGAGTGAGGAGCTCGGAGTAGAGCCGCTGCTCCTCCACATGGAGAGGAGCGTCTGAGGGGAGGACGTCTGTTCTGGTGTCTCCTGGACGTGTCCCTCAGGAGGTGTTCATGTCCCACCAGGAGGAGGCCCCGGGGAAGACCCCAGGACACACTGGAGGGATGATGTCTCTGGTCTGGACTGGGAACACCTCAGGTCCCACTGGAGGAGCTGGAGGAAGTGTCTGGGGTGAAGGAAGTCTGGGAGTCCCTGCATAGACTGATGCCCCCGACACCTGACCCCAGAGAAGAGGAAGAATAAGAAGAAATCTGTAAGAAATCTGTTTTTGTTTTAGTCCTAGTTTGTGTGTGTTTCTTTTTCTTTAAGCCCAGTTACACATGTGTGTGCAGTATATACTTCTACTACTATTACTACTTTGGTAGTAGTAGTAGTAGTAGTAGTAGTAGTAGTAGTAGTAGTAGTCTACCATGACTGTAACACTGGATCTGTGTGTCTGTCAGTATAATGATAAGTGTAAGGAGACACGGCAGGAGCAGCTCACATTGCTTTAAAACTCATCTTCGTGCTGCTCCAGTTTTCACATCCACAGTTCTGCGTCGTGTGTCAGAGCAGGAGAAGCAGACAAATAAAACATAAAGTTCATATTTGGAATGTACATTTTGAGAGATTGTATTCCGTACTCTTTCATTTAGTTTCAAAGATGCAAACATAAATAATCGTGGGTTTTCTGGAGCTCGACCAGAACATGCACCAACATCTCGGTTTGTAAGAGGCGTGTTAAATCGTGTTTATTATAATTCTTCAAAGACAATGACACGAACAGGCCCAGGTGGTTTTGGATGAGTGTGTTTCTTGTTTCTCTGCTCTGCCCATTGTCCTTTTGTCTCCATGGCAACAGGGACTGGTCTTTAAACAATAATTAACTCAAACCTCCACAGAGATAATCCCCAAGGTGATCAGAAACAAAGGAACAAAAGTCCATCACTTTTCTTCATTTGGATTCACATTACTCACACTCTGGAGCCACAGCTGTCCTGGGGCAGACTGACAGAACTGAGGCTCCCAGTCCAAGCCATTGGCCCTTCTGACCAACACCAACATTAATCATGAATTAATGGGAAATGTGAGTGAAGTTTCTTGCCTAAGGACACAATAATTTCCACCAGACTCACTAGTTTTCCCATCTTCAATTTTTTTTCTTCATTCTTATCTTCATTTATTTAAAGATGCCAGTTTTGTTTTTGTTTACGGTCGTACAAACTAATAATAATGATAAAGAAAATCCATAGCAAATCCATAGAGACAAGATAGTGACGGACTCCCAACCAAAAAGTTACATGTTGCAGCTTTAAGTAAAGTTTGGCCGAACGTAGAAGAAACAAATCGTCTCATATTTGACTCTCTGAGATGAACTGAGATTTGTCCAGCAGAGGTGGGACCAAGTCGTAGTTTTGCAAGTCTCAATTAAGTCTTTGACCTCAAGTCCAAGTCAAGTCCCAAGACAGAGCAAGACAGGCAAGTCCAAGTCGAGTCCTGAGTCAAGTCCGGGTCGTCTACTTTGAGCTTCAAGTCATTTCAAGTCTTTAAACCAAAACAGAACTTCGCACATCGATTACATCAGACAGGTGAGTTGGAGCAGAGGGAACTGTCCAAAAACATTGAGAAACATCCCCCTCATCGTCTTACTCGCAAATTGTGAGATTTATTAGGACAAACCGGGCAACGTTTCATTCTGTTTGCCCGAAACGTTGCCCGGTTTGTCCTAATAAATCTCACAATTTGCACAGGATTTTTCTCTATGTTCTAAGTCTTTAAACCAAAAAAGCACCAAATACAGCTTAGATTTTTGCAGTTTATATGAATTTTAAACTAAACTGTGCTTAAAAATCATGGTATTTTTATTTAGGAGTATTTAGAAGAGTTGTAGAAATGCAAATGTTTGGTTTTTAAATGTCAAAATGAGTAAGTCCCAAGGCTCAAGCCCAAGTCATGTCCCATGTCATTGCGCTTCAAGTCCAAGTCGAGTCCCAAGTCTTTGTCTGTTTTATCAAGTCAAGTCTCAAGTCCTAAAAATGACGACTCAAGTCTTGACTCGAGTCCAAGTCCCAACCTCTGAGTCTCAGCTTCATGTTTTATTGAAGCAGCAGTTCTGAGTGAAAACATCGTCTACGTCGCCTCCGAGCGGAAAACACGAGTAAAGAATGTTTATATTTCTTGACATAACTTTGTGTTGTGTTATGAAATCAGATTTTTACTTCAATCCTTTGTGTATTTGATGTTAAATTGTGATCTCTCCGTCCTCGCTCTGGTCGATGAGTGAACTGTTGTTTGTTAATCAGTGGGGATCCAGTTACCAGAGACGCCGTTGCCGTGGAGACGTCCTGGTTTATAAAGCACGAGACCGAGAGACCTGCACCCTTTCTCCGACGCTCTGCCACCTCCGGACAAACAACTACTACTACTACTACTACTACTACTACTACTACTACTACTACTACTACTACTACTACTACTACTACTGCTTCAACATGGTAAGTCTTTGCTCAAACATTCCTTGTAAAATCATTGTGCGACGAATCAAATTAAAATGAAAAACTTGTGCTTGACTAAATCAACAGAATGTCACAAAGTTCAACTCGAAATTTACTATTATTATAAGAGAATTAAACAATGGGAAAAAAATGTAAATTAAGTTAAAGTTGGATTGTTGAGGTTTGCAAAAGTTCAACCTCGGTCAAACTCGCTCGGGAAACAAAAGGCGCTTCGACCATTTTGAATATTTAACTCGTCTAAACAAATGACGGAAGGAGTTTGCAGGGGGGGTTTTCTACGTGTGTCTCTATGGATGGAATGTTCAGGCGTTACCGTGACGACACGACGCACAGATAAGGAAATGCAAAAAAAAAAAAAAGAGTAAAGTTTTAAGCTCGTCTGAAAACAAAATAGATTTAAACGACAAATTTTCAGGAGTTTGTGATCGATTCGAGTGTTTAAGAGTTTGATTTTCACCAACAACAACAAAAAAGTGAGAGGGACTAACTGTAATTTTACGTGTGAAAGATTTAATTATGTGCACAGGTCACTCTGAATGACTTTGTGTACGAATTGTGCTGTACAAATGAACTTGCCTTACCCACCTGTTGTAGTTCAGGTAAATCACTTCTTTCTGATCAACTTTCGTGCTTTCCCGTAGACTTTTAGAAAAATTATCCCATTAGAATTGTTCAATCTAGTTAGAGGCACGTTGAGGTATGTTAGAATGACACCAAGATTCCCTTTACTCACCATAGATTAATTTTAATTTAAAGACAAAAAATGCTTAAATACAATAATAAACGTTATTACTTCCAAATTACATCCTCTCCCACAGCGTTGGGGAGTAACAGATTACATGTGCCAGAGTTATGTAATCAGAGTACAAATTATGAGTAACTCTATTCAGTTACAGTTACTGTTTCTGTGAGAGGTAATTGGATTACAGTTACTTTATTGAAATAAATGGATTACACGGTGGTATTTTCCTGTTTTCACATTTTGGGCTAAATCCCTTTTTTTTTTTTGTAATTCCACTCATTGCCGGACACTAAACCAGGACTAAAACCAAGTCTAAACCAGGTCTAAATCGGGATTGAACCAGGATTGAACCCAGGTCTAAATCAGGACTAAAACAGGATTTAACAGGACCAGGCTGTGTGGACGTGTCTCGTCTTCTTCTATCAATTATATTTTTAATACGGTTCAGTAAAGTCTGGTCTTTTTATTTTCTTTTATCAGACAAAACTTCTTATGTGAAGAAATCCGAGTCTTTGTTTCTCTACAGCAAATCAAGTAATCCAAAGTATTCAGATTACATTACTCACTTTAAGTAATTTAATGGATTATGTTACAAACTACATTTTGGGGTGTGTAATCTGTAATCTGTAGGGGATTACATTTTGAAGTTAACCTTCCCAACACTGCTCTCCCATTAAAAAGAATTAGTACCAGTATCATTTAAACTTACAACTTACAAGGCATTATCAGAACAAATGAAGAGCTTTAAGTAGAAATATGTGTGCAGTGGAATACTGGACACGATCTCCAGACACGAATTAACACTTTAAATATCCTTTAGATTATTAATTACCTAACTGGAAACTCACCAGGGTGTGAAATTCTGATTAAATTGGAAATCCATTGTTAGACTGT